TCGAGTTTCAGATATCGGAAAGGAATCCGCCAAGTCGATCGTAGATTTCAAGGAACTCACCGAAGGATTTCGATATCCTCAAAGCTCGTAAAAAACATCACGACAAGTTAGAATAAATCGTATATTTTAATATTACCGAACGCTCATGTATTAAACCGTATATTTAATAAATCTTTTTACAACAAACTTGAAAAATAATATGTTTTTTTAACGAATGATTTGGAAAAATTATGATAATATATAATTTTATACAGATCTAAAGGAAAAGATGTCTTTAAGTCGTTTTTAGATTTTTTTTAGAGACATGTGTTGTTTGGCAAGTCTTAATAAATTATGGAAAAAAGAATTGTTATTAATTAATCAAAGACATATTATAAATCATACATCATTTTTAAATACGTTATGATATTAATAATTTCTAACATTGAAATAAAGAATATATTTTGACGTTATTCGCTCACAATATATCTACTTTGTATAAACCTACTTGTCATCTAATAGATGATGGGAAAGGATTTTGCGGTTCAGCGGCATGTTGTCGGATGTTGTCCACAATCGCTCGTTTAGCAGGTCGTTTATCACTTCCGGCAAGACCGTTCTGCTTTCCGCAATCGATAAAAAACAGCCATTGTCAGCTAACGTATATCGTTACTTACCGGTAATGTGTCGTTAATGTAAAGCAGTCGTTTGTTGGTCATAAAAGTTCTCGAAAAAGCAGACTTTAAAGTCCTTGTTGAAGTTCTTGCCTGCAATCTGAATTGTTCGACGCATGATGGAAGACCTTTCAATAAAAAAAAATTCTTAAAGACGTCTAGAGAAATGTTCTCTTCTTATACACATACATTTTATATTCGCGTATATCGTGTACTATATTTCTAAAATGTCAGATACAAACATCTCTCGAATCTCGGGATCATTTCGAAAAGCGCATTAATCTAAAGCTGAGAGCGAGGGAAAAATAAGCAAAATTATGCGGAAAAGCGAAGGACGAGGTAAAGGAACGACGTATGTCTCTCTATCTTTAGAGTCCGTGTTCGCGCACACCACTCATCGAGACGCCAAAGTGTCTGCTGGCGGATCTTATCTCGTCCGAACGCGTTGAAACTCTTCTTATCTTTAATATAGCAGTATACGTATGAAGATATCGTGAAAGGACATTGGAATAATTCTACAATTTTCTTGGCATATATTATAAAGAAAGTGAGAAAGTCCCGTGCATATTTTTTCCATATTTAGTTTGGTACAACGTTAATTAAATGAAAGGTGGATAGATATGAAGATAGAATTAATATTTTAATTAAAAATATATATATATATCCTTGATATATGTGAATTTTAAAGAGATAATTTTTAAAGAAATTTCGTTTAAATCTCTGTGTATTATAATTTTACAGAAATAAACTTCTATTTTTTTTCAAGAGAAGCACGTGTATTTTTAAACTCTTAACTTCACATACATATCTTGCTTTCGTTTTTACAGATCTATATTTATATGATTTTTCGAATTTTTTACAAGAATTTAAATATATGTGTTAACGTAAATTAATGAAAAATTAAACCATTAAAATTACACGAAAGATTGATATATTATAGATATACAAGATTGTTTTTGCGTTATTGACTCGCGGATATTAGCAAATGTGTGCGAATCGCGCAAAGAAAATATTTTTCAAAAATAAGATTCTGGTTCTCATTAGTCCGTATATTATATCCGTGGAACTTTTTCATACCATCTGCACACAACTCTGGAGATCTGTGCAATTTCGAGAGAAAGAAATTCGTTCGCGCAAGTAAATTCTCTCTGGTTGTTAAATTCTGCAAAAATTCCACACAATAGTAAACAACTGATGTGAAATAAATTTTAGAGAAAATAAAAGTAAACAGATCTCCCTTTTAAAACAGGTATATCTGGCACTTTCTTCAAGTCGGTCGGTCGAAAGAAGGATTGTGTCACGTTTCGCGCACAATGACATTTACATTTATAATTTCTTACATTACTTGCAGCTGCGTGGTAGATATATCAAGGCGATAAATCAAAATTCGAGTTTCTGGAGGAAAAGAAACGAGAAGAAATTGAGAATCCAATAGTCTCCAGCAGGTCTCGATTAATTCACTTCTGATTTACGATTGTACCATATCGGCACAACACGTGTGATGTGGTGCGATATGGTCCGACTCGTAGAATAACTCCCGAAATAGTCTCGGGAGAAAAATATATTCTCCGGGCGATACCCTATCGCGAACTTTATCGCTCTACGTCACTGCACCCAGGGTGTAAGGAAGGATTTTCTATGAAATGTTAGGTAATTCCGTACGTTCGTTCCGAACCGTGATGTAACATTCTCATTAGGCAAGTTTGCCTCTGATGACCTTTAATAAAATAATCCCGGAGATTACAATGTTACTTGCTTCACACATCGCAAACGTGAGCGAACAATAATTTTGCTCGAAACAATAACTAATTTATTCGACACGCAGTCTTCCGTTGAATAGCGATAATGTAATCAGATCTGTACATAAATGCATTTGAGATGTCATAAAGTTTATCAAAGTTTGCCATTCAAACCTCCATCTTATGAAGTATTAGATTAATTAATTAATAGCGAATTTATCGATCATTAAGATGCTACTGTTATACCTATTGTTATGAACAATAACAAAGTATTAACAATAACAATGTTAACAATAACAATAGCCTCTTAATAATCTTCATAACAGTAACAATATGTTAAATATCTTCATAACAAGCAAAGAACAGATATAATGTCAATATACGAAAAATATAAAGAAAATTATTCCTTAATAAAAATGTTAAAAAGTGGTCGTCATTATTCACAAATCTCAATATTTGATATCTTAGAATAATTAAACTGCGGATCACAAGTCTGTCAGGAAGCAAAATTCTCTCCTTTGAGATTGATCGATAAATATACTGTTCCATCATTGCTTCGAAATTTATTGAATTCCTTTTTATATCGCTTTCCTTGTGCGCTGAATATGTAATATCTTAGCGTATCTTATGGCACGGAAATCTTTATTTAGTTTTTTATACGTCTCGTTACGAATCTCTTTCTCTTGTTTCCCGGCAGTTGTTTCGTCCACGTGGCGCTTTGTAATTTATGGGAGTTTAATTCTAATCCTACGTTTGTAAATATTAACAAAGCTCGTGTTTAACACGTTTCCCGGTTAGTGGGTGGTCTCCGCACACACCAACCAACAATCAAAGACATCGTTGCCGCGGTATCCAACGAAAAAGAGATATTGACTTTTGCCAATTTTTTGAGTTTGCCATTCACCTTTTAATTTAAGAAAGAGAGAAAAATTTGCAACAAAGAATCTTGACGCATTAAGAGTTTCTCGATGATTAATAATAACAAAATTACAGATTTTGTCATTTTCTCTCTCAGTATTATAAAAAACTTAAATCTAATGTCAAAGATTTCAACACAACGTGTAACAGTAGAATCTATTTTTATGTCCTACTATTGTTACAAAATGTCACGTTGATATCATTGAAAATTTAAACTCGTCTTTCACAATCGGTATATTATTGTGTTGGAGCAGTAAAATTAAGATTGCGTTTTACCGTCTATATCCGCTATATTCAGATTCTCTAGAGGGAAAATATAAAAATATAAGTATTCTTCATGTATTCTCTCAACTACTATCTTGATGTATTGTGTGATTATGTTATTTTGTGAATTACATATGTTCAAATTTTAAATATTACGCTATAATTATTATTTCAGTGTTAATATAAAGTGATTATTGCTGCAAATAATTAGGGGATCGATTATCTTTTATTTGTAACAGATATCTAATTCGAAAATTCCTCTCAATATTAAAAAAAAATTAGTAAATATGAATATGTATATTAAATTTAAACAATTTCAATTTGTTAATATTTGACCAAGGAACAATGTTTTAATCATATAATCTTTTAATGAAAATTATCACGTGTTTAAAATTTTAATTTAAAATCACCCCCTTCGATAAATGAGATTTCTGCTGAAAATCTTCCTTTGCTTCTTTTCCGATTTCAAGATTCGCGACAATGATAATTATTTTGCTCCGCGATTCGACGCGATATCGTCACTCTCATGCCATGTTAAGACGACGAGGAGCGATATGTCGTCACGACCTCGTCAAAGCCGACACCGTTTCGTCGGGGGACGCCAGAGAGCGACCGCCAGAAAGCGTTGGTATTTGGCAAAGCATGACGACACCGTCGTCGTCAACGCTACACCTCCGGTTAGTCTGCGGCGGACCCAGGTATCCCAGACCGCAGCGACTATACCTCTTCCTCAGTCTGGTCCATCGTCGTCATTGTCGTCGTCTTCTTTTCTCTCGCACTCGCGGCTCGCTCGCTCGCGTTTCCGCACGCGAGCGGGAAGGAGGAAGCGGAGAGAAGGGGCGAAGACGCTTTTAGACACGGAGCGTCCACGAGCGTCGCGACGCCCTGAAGAGCAGTAGTCGCGTACCTTAGGCAGCTTCCACCTTGCCGGCTCTCGCGCGATTTCTCGCAACGCGTGCAATCTTGATGTCCGGACGTCTTCGTCGTCGTCGTCGTTGTACTTTGCTGGCATCGTTTTTAAGATCTTCCGAAGAACGGACAAGATTGACAATGCTTCTCGTCCGAAGAGCCTTCTTAGGCTCTATTTAAAGAGAAGGTCAATTTGTCGAAACTCTCGAGCCAGTCCACGTCGATCTTGAAAGTTGTCATTTTGACGATTCGAGGTATTTCCTTCAGCGAGTGATAAAGTGTCAAAGTGTCAAAGTGCAGTTGGTGTACGTTGATCCAAAAGATATTCCCCCTCGCCTCGACGCATTGGATCGAAAGCGAGATGATAAGTCGCGAGTAAGGGAATAAGCACGTCACCTGGTATGATACAGTGACGTCCACGCAGTGAAGGACGGCCGCGAGTCGTCTCTGTCGTACGATACCAGGCTGACGCAATTTTGCGAAGGTGGTTCGCGTGGCAAGGCGAGACAAGGACGCGATGGCGGAGCGTCCCAGCGGTGGCAGGAGACGCTCGCGTCGCGACAGCGCGGACACCACGAGCACGATACGCGATACACCGCCTACGTCCAGGGAACGTAGGACCAAACTAGGCTTCGGCAAGCCCGTCAAGGAGCGATGGCTGCTCACCAGGAAAACGTGGCGATACATGGCGGATGCCGGCCGGCGTCTTATCCCGGATGGCACTCACAACCGCCCGGAGGATATACCAAAGATCGAGCAGTACTTTCAGGAAGTATGCCAGAAAGAGCCGCGATTCCTGCTCTGGAGAAAAGCCTCGTATCCGGGCACCTTGGGCTTCCGTGCCCAGCGACGTCGCAGACAGATCAAGAGCGGCAGCTGTCGAGCCCAGGCCAGTTCGGCCGACGAGGCCGACGATGTCAGGAGTTCGCCGCAGAGCTTCGTTCTTCAGGCGACGACGTCTGGAAAGTTTGATCTTGCCAAGGCGAAAAGAGAGTGGCTACTGACGTCAGGCGGCAGCAGCGGAAGCACGCCATCGAGTCCAGTAATGTGTCGTAAGATACCTCAGGAGGATGCTGAGACCAAGGAGCTGGCTGATATGCTACAAAAGTACCTGAACATGCGAGGCGACGCGGCCGATCCGGCAAGGACGGCTGCCAAGTCGCAGGGGACAATTCAACAGAAGGAGGCGAAGGAGCACTTCGACTATCGTAGTTTAATAAACAAGTTACAGCAACATCTGGATATGATCATGGCTCAGGCCAAACGCGATGAAGCTTCTCGCCAGAGTTCTTCCAGCGGAAAAAACGTGGTTCCCGAGTCTATATCCTATCAAGGCGACTACGTTCATAAGTCGCTGATGGAGACATTGAGTCGTCACTATAGCAAGTCGTCTTCTCGGGAGCATGTCATCTCCGACATCTTGACGGACCGAAAGCTTCTCGAGAAACTCTACTTTGATCTGAGATGCACTCGAGGTTTCAGAGGACCTCGAGCGACCGGTGCGTACACCTCGCCGTCCACTCGATGGTGGGATCACGAAAGGAGTAGGCCGTCTACCAAAAAGTCCGACGTTTGGTCATCCACGCAAAAAGATCACCCAAAGATCTCGCCACCACCTTTGATCGCCGTTCAAGAACCCAGCACTGATAAGTGCTTCCTCGATGATAGCGCGCAAACCGATCCAGTTTCCCGAAACGTCCTCGACGCGTGTCTACTAGAGAAAGAAAAGGACGAGTCCTCCTCGCAGAAGGAGGCGGCGTCGCACAAGTCAAGCGGACGGAGACGCAGCAGCGTCGACAACGACGACGTGTCGCCATCCGTGAGCGATACTATCAAGAGGTATTTACGGATGGCACGAAAAAAGTCCATGGACGCGGACAAGACCGATCGGTTTAAGCGGGTAAACTACGATCGGAATCTACGCAATATCAAGGCCAAAGGCGAGATCACCAAGCCCGGCGACGACGACGGCAACAACAAGGGCTGCCAAACGGAGGACAATTGGGCGGCGCACTATCGCGAGATGTCTTCCTACGGTCCTGGTGAAATCCCGTCCGAGAATTTATCGGACGCCGACACGACGACGTCGCCGCCGGCGAGTAGAAACGCCAGCTCCAGGAGCAGCATCGACGCCGGCCTTGGCTCCGAGGAGGCCAACACTCCCGTTAAACATCCCCATCACCATCAATCCTTCCTATCCCATCTCCTGCACGGTTCCAACGCGCATAAAGATAAGCCGCATTCGGCACCGGGTTCGCCGGCACTCACGTCATCGTCCGCCAATTCCGCAGGTGGCACCGCGATGCAGAAGAGCAAGTCCTCGAGTAACGTCGTGCATCACGGCAGCCGGTTGGTGGCGAAGAAGATCTGGCGCTCCAGGAGCAAGAGCACGTCAAGAGCGTCGCATCAGCCGTCCGTGTGGACGCCTCAGGTGAGTTTTTTTCCACTTGTACATCATTCGAAAAGAACAAAAAATTGTCGTATTACAAAAAATAGAGAAAAGGACGAACAATCAAAATTTTTACATTTTTAAAAATTGAAAATATTCAAGGCTTTTGATAATAATTTGATTTACAATAATTGATTACATTATAATAAAAATATGAAATAATTGATTACATTTCAATAAAAATAAAAATGAAAATTTTTATATCAAATTTTATATCAAATTTTAAATCATCTGAAAAAATGATTACAAATCACAATTATTATAAATCAGATAATCTGTATTAAAATACTGTATCATCTCCTTTGATTATGAATAGCAGTTTAGATTTTACTGATTGGTAGTGTATTTATGCGGAGAACTTCCTCCGCCGTTTGTGATAGGACAAGACAGCTGAAAGAGCACAGAAATGAAATGCGTCTTCTGGAAGTTATATTAAATGCATCCCGCGGATTTTCCAATGAGCTATATCTCGCGCATTCTTTGGCGTCTCCGCGAAATTAGCAAAAAGCTCAATAAAAAGGAACAGTAGATACCGTGAATTTGGCATAGACCCGCATTTTCGTAATGGCAGCTTCTGGCGCTGATCTCCATGTTACGCGAGGCAGGAATATCCTCTGAAAGAGCAAAGAGATTCTGAATTATAAAGGGTGTTTGGCGAAACTGGCAATTGGCGATTGCGCTATTTTTGGATAAAGTTATTCTTGCAAATTAATTCCGGAATAACAAGTTATTTACAGATATTACAAAACATGCTAAATATTCTTTATAAATATGACAAAAAAACATTGCATGTACGCATCTCTCTCTCTCTCTCTTTCTCTCCATCTCTTTCTTTATATGTTCACATGATATACGAATATCATAATCTTCTATTTTGTGAAAGTAAGTTTTGGAGCAATCCACTCAAATTGCTCATGCCATTTATTCAGTGTAAAAGAAAATTCTTGATGCGAACATTTATATTCTCTTCCGCATTTGCCCTTGGTGGGTTCCCAAAAAAGCGTGTCCCTTTATATCCGTAATTTAAAAATTTATACATTGTAAATTGTCGCATAAAAAGAGTTATTTGACAGCATTAGAAATACTGAAAGTACTGAAAATACTGAAGGTTTCGTTGCAAAATGAATTTGGTTTCAAATTGTGTATTATTTTGTAATTTTTCCATATAAATTAAACAATGATTTTTTTGACGTGCGTGGTTTCACATTTTTGACACGATAAATTTAAAATATCAAGTTATTTTTTTTCCTTAAAATAAAAGCTCATATCAAATTCATAAAAAAATTACGCATTTACATCTTCGAAACTTGTCACGAGAGAGAGAGAGAGAGAGAGTTTATTTTTATTCATTTTTCATTAATATTCTCTGGCGGTGGAAAATTGTTTCAAATTATATATTTAATTTGAATTATACATTGTATTTCCAATTTCTTCAAAATTAAGAAAGAGAGTGTAAATTACTTTCTTTCGCAATAAAAGTTTCCATCGATACTCGATAATTGCACTCGTTGCCGAGACACTCAGACGTTTCTCCCTTTCTTCTTTGACACCTCCTTATCCTCGGCGTCTAAGCACGCGAAAGATGCGAAAAGGGAAAATGCGAAAGAAGAAAAAGGGGGTCGACCTTGCGGCAGACGTTCTCGTTAAGCGGTAAGCACGATAACCAATTTAGGGCCTCGGAATTTCGCTGGCGCCGCCAGAAATAGTCAGCCAACGCGGCGGTGTGTATAAACTATACTTAACCCCTCCCCTCCCCTGCTCTCCTCTTTCTGCCACTATACTACTACTTGGATATATATCGACACACTAAAGCCAAAGTCTACTACCACCGCTGTCTCGTGTCCATGCTATTCTCACGTGGTGTTTCTCCGTTATTTCGACCAATAATCCGTCTCGAGATTGCAAGAGAAAAAGAAAACTCTTTTTTTTGCAGCGCAAAAAATTGATTGTACTAGTCAATTTATGCCTTTCAATACGGAAACATATATAATTTATTTTAATTAATTTTTTGCTTAAAAAGAGAAAATATTTGACTCGACATAATTAATAGTTCAATATTTTCGGACAAAAAGGAAACTGAAATTATATCTGTAGCAAAATTTAATTGAAGATTAGGTTTGTCCAAATTTTTAGAATTAAATATTTTGATAAAGCTACGTCTGCGATGCCAAATTTTATTAAAATAACGTTTATTGAGTTTTATTATTTGTTTGCATGATACAATTTCTTTTTTTTCTTCCCGATCAATTATAACTCGAGAATAAATGTCGCTATATTTTTTCATTGAATAAACCACTTTTATAAGCGAACAATAATATTATTTGCATGAGATGCATTTGTTAGCGTGACATCCTATTATTCCTGTTATACGCAATAATTCCATTAGTAAAATTGAATTCTTCTTTTTCATCTTTATGACAAAGTTCATAGTGGATATTCTCCATTGTTTTTCACGATTGAACCAGGAAATAGCGAGAAGAAAGGATAGCTCAATCAAGGGATGATGGCGGAAAACTAACTCGACACTTTCTAAAACTAGTTTCCGCTTGATCACTCACTTGCATTTGCATGGGATGCGAAGCTTATATACATACCCTCTTTGCCTTAGATAGACCTTCGGCTTCGTTAGACTTCCCTCGCGTTCCAAGGATACTTTTTACCCCGTCAATCCTCATGCGTCCTATACGAGACCTTCGTCTCGCGAGCCTTCGGAATATACAACAAGCAACGAACAACGATTTTCTCTCGGCGATCAACAAACGAGTCACGAACTTTTTCAGTCCTCTCCCTTTTTTCATTATCCTTAATTTTCATTCTTGCATCAAAGACCGCTGTAAAATAAGCAAACACTTTGGAATAATAAAAAATACATTATAACATGTGAGGAGTTAGGGTAATAATAATTTGAAAATTTTTATGAAAACTGAGTGACGCAAGTAATGTTTCATAAATCAAGTTTTAAATAATGAAAAAGAAAAATATTTTAATTTCTTTCTTAATATTTATGTAAAGCAAAAAATCTAAGCGTCATTATTATGCGGGAAAGTGATACAAAAATTAGCGTATTTGCGTAAAAGATAAAAGTGCAATTTATCCATCTACATGTATCACACATGGCTATTTTTTAGCGACTCTAATCGCGATAAAGTACATTGCAATTTCCACTTGATTGTGATAATGTCAGCAAAATAAAAAGTAGTCTAACAAATGCAAGACATTTTGATAAGCGCATCACTGATTTTTGCTATTGTAACTTTTTTCTCGTCATGCTGCGCATTATACTTCGTGTTCCCGTTTCATATTTTAATTCGTCGCAGTATAACAAAATTATACAATATATAATAACATCAATTACTTGATAAATAAACTATTAATGTTGTGTATGCGGATATTATACATTTGTTTTAATTTTGCTACATTTTCTGGCATTTCGTGTTTATTCAGATAGATCAACGTGGATTTCAAATTGATTGAATTGCTTTTTTTACGTTTTAATATATATTTTAAGTTTTAATATGATTTTAATATGCAATCTTAAAGATAAATCGAAATTTATGAATATAATATGAATTACTATGAAGAATTCTTTTTTTATTATCAAGAAAGTAGTAAATATGGAACAAAATTATTCTTTTTAAAATCACATTTTATCGATATAACATTTTCGATTTATAAAATTATGCTTGCTTGTCGCTTTGATGTGCTGCGAAAAGGATAAATTCTCAATAGAACAATTAATCATCAAATCTGTTATTTATTCAAGCTTGTCTCTATTCAAGCTTGCTACGTGCTTATTTTTCCTTGCGTTGTATCGCGCATATTTTAATACACAAGACACGAGATCTTGAAAAGAAGAAGATGCGCTGATAAAAATTGTTCATCGTTAAATAACAATAATCATTACTCATATCTTTCTTCCGCGGCTCTCTTCAACATTGTAAAATACATATCACAAGAGCGAGGAACACACATTTGCGTAAAAATGTACAAGAATATATTTACTTGCAAGTTGAAGAGACAGGAAGAATATCTCACGTTCTTGTTTCCATCAGCTTTTACACTAAAGCCCATAACGCTGAACTATATACATGTCATTGCCTCGACACATGCTTTTTACGTTAAAATTTTTGACATTTTTTGATTGCTTTTTTAACTGGATGCGATGTAATTTGATGCCTTTCTTGTGCACAGTTGATTAGTTCACGAATGACAAAAGTAGATTATTTCTTGTTATTTTTAACGATTATTAAAACAAGCCTGACATTTAGCAGTATATTTTTTTACAAAAGTTTTAATAAAATATTGCAATTTAAAAAATATGCAGATATACATTTAATAAAATATTGCAATTAAAAAATATACAGATGATTTATAATAAGTTATATAACTACGACAACGTACGACAACATAATTAATGAAACTATGTTATACTCCTGTGTGTTTGATTTAGATTATAAGAGGTATTATTAATTGCAATATTATTATCATCATTAATCAAAAACAAATATAATGTATGCATCATTAAATTTTGTACAATTTAAACTCGGCTTGATCCTACTGCGCGCTCTCCTCGCAAACAAGAGCGAAACATTCGCACAATTACGTCTCTTGCAAGATTAACTTGATCCTCTCTGCGCGAGATGGAAGAAAAGTGTATGAGTTATGATCTGTCATATTGTATCTCTTCACGTTATATCTCGCATTTCCTCGATATTATACTTCGTTCCATTTACTTGTCAAGTGCACGTTACTAAAAGCACAATCGTTAAACTATCATGAAATTTTTATGACACGTGTCTGCGAAACGTGTAAATACTGACGAATGAGGCTGAATTTATATCCGCCGAGATTATCGATCCGTTATCGAAATCGAAATTGGTCGAAATTCACGATAACGCAAATTTCAGGAAGCCCGAGCTGTGATTCATCTCAGCGACGAAAATCCATAAATTTTAATTCCGCGAATTTACATGATAGGATTAATTTAAATAAATCGTTGCATGATAACGAGGAGCGCGTCGAGATCACGGAATTAAATTTCGCGTTCGGAAACGATAGATGAGATATTTCTTAATTTGCACACGCTCCACGGCGTTTCTCGCGTCAGGGTTACACGTGCCGAAAATTCGCTTAAGATCGCTGTTAAGGATGTTTTGTACCTATTTTCAAAATATTGAGAATTTAATGAAAATTGCACAGAATGTCTATACATATGTTTAGAATATTCAGTACAATTTTTTAATCGATTCACTAAAGCGTTCACAAGTTATAAGGATTTTAATTTGCACCGAATTAACATGTGTTCTTATGGGAAACGTATAACCACGTCGATTCGAAATGACAAAAACACATGGAAATAATATTCAGAATTTGTTTAAAATTTGCAAAAGTGTAGTTTAGATACAGAGGAAATATTTGGTCAAATAATATTATACAAGTACTAACTGGTTAAAAAGATATTAAATATAATTCAATGAAATTAGCCATGTATCTGATACAAGGCGAAATTCTCTGCCAAAAGTTAATCATTTCGATTAACAAAATTCGGAATATTTCAGTAAAAACACAATAAATATTAAAAAATATCTCTCTGCACTGTAGCTAAGATCATTGTATTCCACACAATTTTTCATACTCAAAATACACCAAAGGTGGATATATTCGTCAATATTGATTTTCAGTTACTTTTTTGCTGGGATTGTACATACAAAGCATCCTTAGGCGCAATTCGCGACGGTAAGTCGACGGAAAGATATAAACGAGAGACGTCCATCCTCTTTTCTGTCGCAGGGAAAATGCACTTGGGCAGGCACGGGAAATCGGCGCATAACTCTGCAGGATACGTCGCTGCGAGCGCTGTCCGAAATCGAGAGGAAGGTCCTCTGCAAGGTGGCCGTAGCCAAACTCCAAGCTCTCAATCTGGGTGTGCACATCAGACCGCCAAGCGGTGAGTGGTTTTCGAATAAAAAAAAGGGAAAAAGGAAAGTCAGAAGAGATCTGTAAACGAAAATTTTGACGTACTGTAGCAATTTTTGGCGAAAAAGTGAAGGAAAGAATGACATCTATCGTTTTATACTTTTCTCCGTCTATAATTATTATTAAATCAAGTAACACACCCCCGCGCTTTCTCTCTCTCTCTCTCTCTCTCTCTCTCTCTCTCTCTTTCTCTCTTTACATCGCACGCTCACGCTTTACATCCGCGTTCCACTCGTGTCGCAGATTTTGAAAGGAATTCCTCCAGGCACGTGTAATTCCATTGCAGCTCTCTGCGTGCCATGCTCCATTAATCCGTGAAGTATATTTCGAAGGGGCGAAGAAAAGAGAGGAAATTACGCCCAACGAAATTCCATCGTATATTTAAGCGTACGGCCCCCGCCGGCTTTTATTTAACAAACATCGATGAGAGTCATGAATTTCTCGGATGCTTTTGTACGCCGTATGGAATCGAATCCTTATGTGCTTTCTCGTCAACGCCCCCGTACGTTACGTGAATTATTCGTCCCAAGGTTTGTTCTTTTAGAGGATTCACGTTTCATCAGTGTTATAAAGATCTCTTTAATATATCCTATTTTTTTATAAAAAGATAAACATTTCTCCTGCGAAAATCTGAGGATTAAACGAATCTCTTCATTAATCGTAAGAGAAAATATTTTTGAAAATAATTATTTTCAGAAAATATCTAATTAATTTGTCGTTTTAATCGGATAGCATGATTTTATTCCGCACTTACAGAAGTTATTCCATGCTTACATAAGTTATTTCAAGCTGAATACGAAGAAATCAGGCAATTTTGTCGCTTCTTCGAAGAACTTGATTTTCAATCGACCGATCGACCGACCGCTTTCGTATACTTACGAGGAATAATAATAGGGGAGAGAGAGAGAGAGAATCTCTCGGAATCTCGTTGTATATCTAAGAGATTACTTCGGCATTTATCGCGAAAGACGTGGCGCCGTTTGGCTGTCTTGTTTGAACTCCAAATGATTGACGTGTTTATGACTACGAGTGTTCGCCCGCTTTCATCCACTCGAATTTTGCAATGTCTCTCTTCTTTCGTCTGAATGCCGAAAATTCCGATCAGATCATTAGAATGACATTGTACATATTACAATAGAATGACTATGAGTAATTGTACTATAATAAAAATAGTATACATTCTTCAAGTAGAAAGTGCAAGGAACGCATCAAGTCATCGTTGATGGATATTGGATCGCAACATCTTCACTTTTCACATTTGATACGTAATATTATTTGTAAGCCGTGAAAATCCTTTAAAGGAGATATAATAATATAATGATAAATTATACATGAATATACATTACAAATATAATTTATGTAGATCCATTATTTGTAGAAAAATTAAATTTGAAAAAATCTTTCAACTTTAAATTTATCTTTCTACTTTTTTTAAATTTTGTTATTCCATGTTATGGCAAGAGTAGCTTTCTATATTATGAAATCGAAATAGTAAATTATTATCAAACCCCAAAGCGCGAATGTTAAAACGAGATTAAATTTTATAAGATGTAAAGACGAAGAGAAAAGTCATGTAAAATGTATTGCAGCATCAGACTCATAATTAGAATAAATCAGAAACATAATTAATGACAATACGAAAGCTATCATTATGTCGGAAACGAAAGGCAAGAAATTCGTATATAAAACACCCCACATACATATCAGTTAAAACTACTTAATTTTTGCGAGAGATCCTATTTGAATCTCTTACATTTATTTATGAAAAAGTTATATTATTCCCATTACATATGTAAACATGTAAAAATGTAAAAATATCTTCTTTCTTTCTCTCTCTTTTAATCATTTTTTCAAAATCTCTTCTTCTCATTTTTTGTCTCTCTAAAAAAGAATCTAAGGAAAGATTGATTAAATTATACCAACAGACGGATTTATTTTAAAATAAATGCTATATATAGATATACGAATTGTTGCAGCATGCCAGAAGCAGATACTGTTCTGATTTTACAAGATTGCATAATTGCATTAAGGAGTCTTGGAATACATTTGTCAGATCGTTTTCTTCGTTTCCTTTCAGAAACGCTCGGCAGCGGGTCGGCGACCACGAAGCCAAAGAGACGGGCGTATCTGCTGAAGAGGAAGGCTCTAACAACGGGCTTCTTCGACAATAAAGGGAAGGATGAGAAAGAAAAGGGTGAGCACAAAGCGCAATACCGGTTAATCGCGTTGCCGCCGGCTATATCGTCAATGTACTTTCGCAACAAAGAGAAACAATCGTAATCTCGAGAATAAACGATGACATCTATTTATATCATCTGCCGCTTTCTATTCTCCTTCAATTAAAATCTCCTCGCGAATAAATAAAATGTATCTTTTTTTATTTGACGCTGATACACTTTATTTATAAGATGTAACAAAGAATCGCGGTCGTTAGGTCAGGCGAGGGAAAAACGCGAGTTCAACGAAATCCGTTATGTCCGGTCAACGAGTTTCTCTAATTATATCGATGAGATATCCTTTTAATCATGTTTAATTACGTTGTACAATGAATGAAACTTGAAATAACAAAGCGTTGATAAAATTGGAATGGTTTTTTCACATGGCTCTCGCAAAACTTTGGATTCAACGATCTCCAATTAAATAAATCGATGTACAACTTTTTCATCTTCCATATAAAACGTACTCTTCTTTTTCCGGAGAATCTGAATTAAATTTATATCCTCGTCTCAGCGAAACATATTCTTCAGTCTCCGATATAGAAATATATGAAATGAAAAAATGAAACACGCGAATCTCATTACGAGTGCAAAAAGCGCGTAAGGATTAGCGAAAATCATCGATGCAAAAGCAACGAATCGCGCGTGAAAATTTGTTTGATCGTGCCGATAATTAAGTACGAAGTGCGTAGTTGAATGCGTGAAAGCCGCGTATTTAACGATCGTATAATTTATGGCGCAATTATTTGTTTGGAGAATAACTGGTTCAGTTATTTTCAGACAGACGCAATAGCGCTCGCCGAAGTTCTTCGGGGGAGTGCTCTATCACTTGATATGTTTACGACATTCTTACGCATATATGTATTTGTATGCAATATATATATATATATATATATATATATATATATATATATATTAATCTATCGTAACAAGGATAAATATTGTTCTTGGGACAAATTTTCAATCTATTTTAGTCGATCGACACGTCTCTCTTTAGTCTCGTCATTTCAAATTCCATGTTTGATCAAGTGAATCATTATACAAGAAGTGTGGATCAAGTGAATCATTATATCGAAAAGAAATTCAGATTAAACGCTAATCTTGGCCAAATAAACAAAAATTTATAAAATTATTTATAAAATTACTTTTTATAAAATTATTACATAAATATTAAAGATAAGTGAATAAAAGAAAATGGAAAAAAAATAATCGACTCTCATTATATCATACCGGGAAAATAATATTGTAAAAGTATGAAAATTTTCCGGGATAGGAAAGAGATATCTCTGCAGGATAGAGCGGAGATTACTATTTCCGGTTACTGCGATTCCCATGTAGAAATGCAGATGAAACGCTTTTGCGAAACGTACCAGGATAATTGTTCCTTGTCGAGCGTTCTCATATCAATGGAATCGCTACGCGAGCAAACTGCAATTTTCCATGGCGAACACGTTATCCGAAAATGCGCTCGGTTCATCGCGTTCTCATTTCAAAGATTTCTAATTATGTATCGTGTGGGCGATTATCCTTATTGCTTTCTGCCGCGCTTTTATACCGTCCGTGACATTTCAGATAAAGATTATAGCCGTAAATGGATATAGTATTGGAAATGAGATTTTTCATGTAAAATTCTAATGTGACATGTGTCTCTCTTCGGACGCATTACGCGGACACGCACTAAAAGCATCATTCCGAATGCAAATGTACGATAATATTTATACAATTTGTAGTATACCCTCAAGAATATTCAAAACTCCGCTCGGTTGTATAAACCATGTAAATCAGCATCTTCGGTGTCGCATTTAAAAAAATAAAAAATAAATAAAAATAATAAATAATACTAAATAAAAATAAAAAATAATAATAAATGAAAATAATAAATAAATAAATAAAAATAATAATTAAAAATAATAAATAAAATAATAAATAAATAAAAGAGATAAAATAGATAGGAAAAAAATTCCGAGTAAATATTTAATTTCAAATTAATCGCGATAAAAATCGATTTGAAAAATGACCTTAATTCCATTCTTACGGTATTATTGAAATTTTTTTTCTCTCTTCTTCTCTCATATCCGTTAGCTTAATATCGGAGTAACCGAAATGAAATTTTGCCGTGGAAAATGCATCTACTTATCCGTGTGCAAGAGGCTGCGAGAGGCGGGTGCGAAGCAAGATCGGTCGGCCAGGCTGGTATGAGACACAATTTCGCCGGCTAAAATTAGCCACGGGGTGCTCAGTGGCGGTACATATTTCCGCATATATCAGGTTTATTTGCGGTTCGCATGCACACTGAATACGCCTATGCGTAGGGGACACCAGACGTCAATCGGGAAATCTTCCCGTGAGGTCGCTCACTCCCTTTAATGCACTACTACTTTAATGCTCTCTCTCAAGAGTGACGCTATGAATTGCATTCCAAACTTGTATTACTTCGTAAGAATGAAATAGACATCTGTTGATCCCTGGTGTAAACATTTCCCGACAGAAACAATTAAGATATTAGTACACATATCTAGAGAAAGAAAACACAATATTATTGGCATAAAGCCAATAACATATATGGCATAAAATGAAGTTTTATATAAAATGCATTTTTATTTCATTTTATCAAATAGTTATCAAGATTTCATTTTCAGTAAAAGTATATCATTTTTATATTTTTTGAGGAAAACTTAATTCAAAATGTATATATTTAATCAATTTTTTCTTGAGTTGCTGTTTTTATTATTGAATGAAAAGTTTATTGTTCAATCAATAACTTACATACTCGCAAACATATTTGACTAGATAGAAATATATGCATTTTGAATGAAGTTATCCTCAAAATTGATGATACATTTCATAAAGGTGACATATTTTTGACCGGTACTGTATACAAGGAGAAAGATCCGCTAATGCTTTTTAATAATTATTAAAAATTGAAGCTTTTAGATCTCGGCAGATCGACGAACAAATTATTCGACGAGCGTGTCGAGCGACAGTTCCCAGTGGAGACATTAAACGCAACGTTATCGTCAGACCTTGCTAACCGTAGTACACGCGACTCTGATGCTATAAATTTCATTTTCAAAGTATGTCGGCGATCAAGATATACAGGCATAAACACAAAATTGCATCCACATATATAAATACACCTATCAGGAAATGTCAATTACTTAAACGTGTGCGTGCAACAAGATACACCGGGGATATTTATATACGCAATGTTCGCATGCTCGCACTCCGCGCGTCTAAATACGTCCCCGACATCGCACGGGGGTGGCAAAGTGTTTGACGATCGATGCCGATCGTTTCTCGACGCTTCCAAGAAGAGGCTCGTTCTCTTCGCACATTGTAGTGCGTAAAGTGGCTCGTGTTCCACGCTCGTCTTGGGAAGGTACGTTTCGACGAGAAGGAGAGAGAGAGAGAGAGAGAGAGAGAAAGAGAGAAAAAGAGATGGCCGGGATGGCCCAGATCGTGGTCTATAATCGGATCGGTATAGGGACACGGTTTGTTGCTTTTCGGTTTTCAGCTGGCTCTCTTGAAGAAGCGATCGAAACTTTAACGCCTTCCGTCTATCGTCACAGGCCACGTCTCTTCGTGTAGTATTTTCTTTCACACGTTGCGACAAATTGCGTCGATGAAAAAGACATTTTATTCATTTCTCGCATGCATAACCTGGATGAGAAAAGAGGCTTTCGCAAAACCGTTGCTCGTGACAAAAATTTAGTATCACAGATAAAATGCAAAAATAATCACAGCGAAATAGAAATACACGAAATCAATATTATTACAAAAAAATTTAATCCCCCCAAGATACAAGATTAGAGATTCGAAATATCACGATTACGGACGATTAAAATAATTCAAAAAAAGAAATTATTATTGACAAGCACTTCGCGTAATGTATCGATGAGTCGATGATGATGAGCGAGCTTCGAAACAATGTAGTTTCAATCCTTTATGAGCGTGAATTGAAGGAATCGGGCGTGTAATTTTCCCTCCCCGGCTTTTAACGTTATAATCGAAGACGGTGCCGACGTAGCGGCAAATGTGCTTCGAATTACCTGGCTTTCATATCGCGAGACAGACGTGGGTAGACTAAAAGAAGCTCGTGTCTGTCTTGGGGATTGCAACTTTGCGGGATACGTTTTTGGCCGCGATCTGAAAGGATGCGCAATACCCAGTGGATGTTGATGTTAATTAGTGTCACGTTAAACGCGTCATCCTACAGAAGGTCTGTCTTCTCGTGCGCCGAGAATCGCGTCGCGAAAATATCTCAAGCCGCGTCGAATTAGCGCTATTAATGCAGAAAGTCTGGATTATTATCGCGAATTACATAGTATGTATTATTATCGCGTCTGTTGTTCGCAATTGCGTTAAAAACTTGGTTAAAATTATTAAGAAAATACTATTAATATGTAATTTTTAGCGAAATCCTTTTGCGAATCCTTTTACTTAGTTCAGACGTTGAAATTAAAATTTATTTTAAAATAATTATATCATCTTAAACACTGTCCCTCTTAGAGCTTTGTTCTTTAGTATAATGAAAAGTTACTCTTGCAGAATATAACGAAGAGTTACTCTTGCTTAATTTTGTTTAAGATACTTTCCGTTATAATTCACCAGTTTTTTCGCCATTTCATTAAACAATTCGCGTTACAGAAACGCGTTAATTAATCGATCCGTGCCCATGATGCGGCAAATTGTCATCAAATACTATCGTTTTCATTAATGAGCCTAATTAGCGGACGATAGCAACGCATCGATGCTTTAGTTTATTTGTGCACGAAACACGTACGCATACGCGCAAATTCGTCGTGTCCACAAAGCGCAGCTGACGGCTCGTAGATTAGATCAATGTTGATTTCGCGGTGCTCGTTTGCTAGCCAAATGATCAAGGAGATTACGAATTATTCGAAAAAGAAAGATTTACTGACGAAATCGCGCATAAAATATACATACAGCCAATAACAAAAGCCAATTTAGTAACTATTAATTATATCTCACGTGTATCAAATAAATATTCAAAAAAATACGTACACATGTAATTAACGTTATGATAAAGATGCAAATTTTTTAAATCATATTTATACTATAACTACAATTAAAATCTTTAATCAAAGAAAGTGTTATAGTATTTAAAAAGTACTCGATATTATTTCGAAAAAAAAAAAATTTTAATAAAAATAAAAAAATTTTTAATATAAAAAATATTTTTATATTAAAATTCCGTGCATATTAAATTTAGACATGTACGAACCTCTGAAGTTTTCATTCTTCTTTTTTGCTCGCAGACGTAGCTGGTGGTCTGGTGTTCAATATACCGCTGTCGCAGTGCATAGAGAATGATAGAATCGCTAGAATCGCCGCTGGAGAGGTCACCGATGTCGGTTGTCTGAGTAGGAGCAGCAGACACGGCAGTCGCACCAGTTTCTCCAGCCTTATAGAAACACCGACGACCGTCGCGGCAAAAACAGAAGAGGTAAAAATGATCAGAGATTAGAACGATATTCGATACAAATTATTGCATGAATTAAGTATACCGGGTCCGATTGATATTTCACATACATTTTGGCGTTTGTTTACATTTTTCAAATCCACTTTTCCTATAGATTTATATGCGTTACGTATTTGTCTTTGTATTTAAATCTACTTAATTTTTTTGTCTAAAAAAATTGCATTTTTAGAGGAGAGAGATATATCTTTGAATTATTTGATTAAAACCGCGATAAAGGATAGAAAGTTGGAAAAGATACGCGATGCATAAAGACTCGCATCTTGCACTCTCAACAAGGCGTTGACCTGCATTACAAAAGTTTCTTTCGAGTGGTAAAGCTTGGCAGCTGATTGAGCGACCATTAAAGATGCGACCGCGAACGACGAGCAAATATAGAAACTTAAAACGGTATCGTATATTTCTACACGGAATTTATGTAATTCCTCTAGCTCATGTAATAAACATGGCAAGTTCGAGAGCGATTCTCGCGGGATAAACGTCTTTATGTTATATATCTCTCTAGAAAAATTCAAGACGTAATAGATTCTCGATCTCATACACGCGTAGTAACGTTTAAGACAAGCGTGTGAATAAAAATCGTCTTGAACAACGCCCAAAACTCCGTTCGGGCATGTCTCTCTCTTTCTCTCATTGACGTCACATCGCTTAACGACGTCACCGTGTTGCGTCATCGTTGCTGCCAGGGCAGGCGGTTTATCGATGACCACTTGCGACGTGACTTTGCCAGACGTCGAACTTGCAAGTGGTTATTTTTCGACGGATACGTCTGACCGATGGCCACGAGTACGCCATTTATCTCTATCTCCCGTCCAAGACGCGGTCAGGGTTGCGATATAGCGGGGGGGAGGGAGAGAGATCGCCTGATGCGAGGAATTAATGTCACAAGACGGTGCACTTATACATGTGCAAGCTAAAATTTCCTGCTCTTAAACTGTCGTAATAACGATAGAAGTTAATTGTATGTTAATTTTAGTTCTCTCTTTTGGACTCAGATTAGACAGAGCAATAAAAAAGATGGAGCTTAACATTTTAACCGGTATAGTTTCTGTGATGAATTTTTCTTTGAAAACTTTAGTCGGGATCAATTATTCTTTAGAACTTTGAAAACAATACTTTACAATAAATGATTAGGGAATTTAATTTCAAACTTCTATTATAATAGAATAGAAATTGTTGGGAAAAAAAGGGATTTTCCTTTCTCTATCAACCCGGCATCGTGTGGTTTCATAGAATTCTTTAACTTTAATATCCCCGACAAGTCGTGGGCGGATTCTTAAATTTCTTTGGAAAAGTTTATACACTTTAAAACCAACGAAGAATATACTTTTAATATTATTTTTATTCTTTACAAAAATGTTTAGCATGGAAGAGATAACGTTCGTCGTGTCTTCATTTTATAAATTTCCCTTCTTCTTTTGAAGGTGACAGATCAGAGACTTCCCAATCGGAAGTGAATATTTTAGTTTCAGAAGCGCCGCTGTACCTGAGTAGAAAACAATTTTTTTTTACTCGAGAACGAATGTTCATCGTTATTTTAAGAACACTGGTGTACGATCAGCGATGTGCGTTTCCTGATCTACAAGATTATTATTTTCGATCTCGATTTCTTATGATGTCTGGCATAGAATTATAGCCCGACCGTAACCTACGATAACTCGTACTATTACATAATAAAATAACAGTCCCATGATGTCTCTCTGGATAGTTATTTTCGAAATTCCTCTCTCTCTTCGCGATGCTTACAATACTCTTATTAAATTATAATCTTTAAATATATCGACGTGTATAAATCGCGTAGCGAAAAATTTTTATTTCTTTTATGGGAATCGAAACGTAAATGTCAATTTCCCAATATTATGCTTTATCTCAAAAGAAATCTATTACGCAATATCTTTTAATTAAAATCCTTTATTATGCAATTTTTCGTTACGTTGCCGTATGAGCAATTCAAATTAGTTCTCGGAATTGATCCTGTTATTATCGAGCCCTTTTGCAGGAAGGACTGCGGGCGATGTACGAGCAAACATCTAGGGCAACAGTTAAGCGAATGCGAATTTCCGTTTTCACTCGTCGCATAATGGCTTCATTAATTCCAAGAATTCATAGTTCTCGTAGAAATTTCCTAATTAATTTTCGCGAACTTTCATCTTATTATAGTATCCATAGTACGGCAAAATAATGTTCTGATAATTCTAATTTACAGCACTTCTGTAAGTTTCTCAATTAAATCAGTCAAATAGAAATGGTTTTCCTTCAGCGAAAACATCGATCATTTTCAAGTTACAAGAAAAAAGAAGAGAGAATATTATATTCTCTAGGTAATTTCAACTGGAATTTACTTTAATAGAATTTTAATTTGAGACTTATAGAGTTTCAAAGATATATGATTAAAAAATTGATTGGATTTGCAAAAAATGATGATCTTTCTATGGCATTTTTGCTAAGGAAAATCTCCTTCAAATTTTCCTAGAGAATCTGCTATTAAAAGGACATCTAAAATTTTAAGATATCCTGTACATATAAATTAGCCGTGAAGAAATTACGAAGCTCAAAGTCGTAATCTCACAGATCGCTTTTTTCTCCATTAAGCGTAAATTGTTTTCGCTATCGCATCTCCTTTAAATATATTCTCAAAGACTATCCTCAGATGATCCACGATGTGGCTACAAGTTTCATCACCGAAAAAACAAATCGATATCGTGAACTTTATAAAACAATTTGCGACAAATCTATATGAGCGATGAACTTTGACATTTTTCTGATTTTGTGACATATAAACTTTATTCATATAAATTTCATGAATAGATCAATAGATTCAACATTTTTCCTTTTTTTAATTCTGCTTCGAAATAAATCGAACGGAAAGACGAGTAAATTAGTAGGGAGAAAAGAAAGATTGCGACAGCAAGATAAATTTTGCACCCATCGTTTCATGCCTCGAATTTGAATTGGAACATTCGGAAGCTATAATGACATATCGACGCATTTCCGCAAATGCTTTTACGGCAACCGACATTGACGAATATCATTATTTCAAATGATTGGAGATAATTGATTCCCTCTATGTTTTGTTTGTTATTTTATATCAATGTATTCCAGAATTAATGTATTTTTTCTTAAACGTATGGATCCTATAGATGCGATTAATGCGAGAAAATGTTTCCAGCAAGTTACATAAAAGAATATTTAAGTGAGAGAAGGATATTACACACAATTGAAAATTAATTAAATTTTCTTTGAACAAATATATGATAAAATTTTGCTTCTTCAATTTATTTCAAACAAAATTTATAATTGCACGTTTGTTTAATTCAAAGTTTCTGATATTTGATGTTAAAAATTTAAAAAATGCGATTATACAATCTACATGTATAGGAAAAGTAGACAACTTTATTACAAATTAAAATTAAAAATAATATAAAAACAAAAATAAAGAGAGAAAAGTGATAAATTTTTAGGAAAAAGCGATGATAAAAAGTAGAAACAAAATATTAGAAATCGATCGAGATAATTGATCAAAACAATAAAGCGCCGACGTAACCAGAAATTGATGTGTCGCTTGCACTTGAAATTTTTACAACCGGAGGCTAAATCAGCTGTTCCCGAGATCCGAAATATCTATGCTTCATCGGCAGAAATAGCATCGATATATTTTATAATATCTCCAACCGCTCTCGCACGCGTGTTTTGCGGTTTACTTCCGACAATTCGATAAATGATATTAAATGATTAACATACTGGAGAACGAGAAAAAGAGACTATGCTTTGTGTTTTGAATGGCACGAAAAACATTTACACAGCCAGTTTTCATTTTAATTTACGATACGAAATAAAACAGCAGATTAAAATTGCCTGGTCATTCTCATAAAATTTGATGACACCTTTATGAAAGTGTGACGATAAATATTATCCTTATGGGAAGTAAGTTAAAAAAAAAATTCGTTTCGTTCCCCTTACAGTCCGAATAAACTAGAGCAAACTTGGCGACAATCATTCTCAAAAATCATGTTTAAAATCGGAAAGATATCGTTCAAGATCTAATCGGTCTATCTTTACTTATCATCCCTCTTGGCATCTTTGCGAGATTTGCCACGCCTAATCTGATTGATCGATCGATATACGTACAACGTGAGGAAGACGACGTAGAATTCTCGTGTCGACGTCACGTGCGTGTCTCACGTCCGAGGTGACATCATGGATTCGAAGACGCGAATAGAACGAGAACGGAATCGCTAATTTTAACCGCGGATTAATTAAGAACCCTCAATTTCGCGAGGGACTTTATTTTAGCATTCCCGACACACTAAGAGAAAGTTTAAACGATTCCGCTTAAATGCTCCATTATATGGGATATGTGCACATTTGATGCTATCGAACTAGTAAGATTTTACAAGAATTAATAGTATACAGAATGATACTCGTACATCATCTGTACAGATGACATTAAACATTTGATTTTATATAAATCGCTATTTTATATCAATGCATGAATTTTATATGCATTCTAGTTTATAAATCAAGGAATAGAAATCATTAAGCATCTTACTTAAAAAAAATCAGCATCATATATTATAAATCTCTCTCGGAATGTATATGTCCATTTACCTTCTCTTATGCAAATGATATTTTCTTCGACCTAGGGAGGATCCTGCGAGTCTTTGTCGTCGAAAGGCGGTGCTCTCACAGGAAGCGATTCCGGAGTGCTCGAATTGAGTGACAGCGGCGGAGGAAGCTCTGCCGGTGAGTGGGATGCGGTACCAAACGTCGTAAGGCAATGCATCAGGCACCTCGAGGCCACCGGTCTCCGGACGCTAGGCGTGTTTCGCGTATCACCCTCGAAGAAGAGGGTGAGACAGGTACGACGTTTTCTTTCAATAACAAGAATACTTTGACATTAACTTTGACTTTTAAATTTTTTTTCAAATGGTGAGACTTCCTTTTTGATATAAAAGATATTGCGAGACGATTGAAATTTATTCTTACACAATAGTCTCGTTTTATTCCAATTATTTGCAAGCAAATTTTTCCTATATATAATTTTTTAGTGCAAAAAAGTACATATAAATTAAAATAGAAATCATACGCTTTTGCTGACTAAAAAATAATGTCATAATTCAATTACTGTGTTCTTCGGGTTAATATGAGCTTAAATTGGAAATTGACAACTTTGTCAGATAAGTCTTCTTTACTCCTGTTCAGATATATCCTATACATTAATCTGTATGCGTTATCGAATTCTGTTTCAATCTTCATATTGTCCATTAATGCACATTATAATCATCGATAGGAATTAAACATTTATCAAACGGGAAACCAATTTATTTATTTTTTTTTAAGTAACTCAAATGATATCGTTTCAGATAAAATCTCTCCTCTCTCTTTGAAACGAGTACATTATTCTATTTATTATGCGTCTTAAGTGTAACGTTTATAATTAATTTCAGTTAAGAGAAGACTTTGACTGCGGTCGGGAAACCAAGATAGGCGCAGATCAGTGTCCTCATGATGTAGCTACTCTCCTGAAGGAATATTTCCGTGATCTACCAGACCCTCTGCTTTGCAGAGATTTATATCAAGCCTTCGTGCATACACAAAGTAAGGTTCTAATTTGGCTAAGCTATTCGCGAATATTATCTCACTATCTACTTCAGCTCGTAAAGGACAGTTTAATTTGCATAGTCGATTTTGATAAATTTATTTACGCTGTGAGATGTCAATTGTTCCCTGGTTTAATTTTCTTTTGCTTCGCGACTCCAAATTTTACATCTTCTCGATTAAAGCGCGATAAAACGAGCCATTCGAATGTCTTTCAGAGATCAGGAACAGACGACTGCAGCAGGAAGCTCTACAGCATCTCATTCAACTTCTACCTACTCCCAATCGTGAGACACTCTGGGCACTTTTGAACTTCTTGAGCGTTGTCGCGGCCAATAGCGAGGACCAGAAGAGCGAGACTGGGGATTGGATTCCGGGGAATAAAATGGATACGACGAATCTCGCAACTGTCAGTATCGCGCGTGCCGACACTCTTCGACTTTGATTTCTTTCCGATACTCCTATTGCTTTTTTTTGAATTCCGCGTCGCATCTCGTTGACTTTTCTCTTGGTCGAGATACGCAAAAAGAATTCTTTATCAACTCGACGGTGAAATTCTTGCGTTTCTCTCTGATTTTCTTTTCTCTAATTAATCTGGAAATGGAGAGAAACTGAGTTAACTATGACTCTTGTACACGTTATTGCGTAATGAATATTTTCATTTGTTTGTACATCTAAAAAAATTCTCGTTTCTTTATATAATAATATACATTTTTCAAGAATCAATTTAAACTTAATTATCTTACAAACATACTTTCGTCGATACATTCAATTGCATATAGGCAACATCGAGAAACATTAAGAGATTTTGGAGAGATCGAGAAATTGTTTATCTTGACAGGTTGAAAATTAACTTCAACATTTTGCGTCTCGTACAAGATTCCGTTACGTATCAATATTGTTATATCGCGACGGGAATTTCTGCGGGAAGCATGAGATTAATTAATTCGGTGGTCGACACACGCTCTCGGCTATCGTCAATCATCCCGAAAAAAGCCACGTTAATTAAATTAGAAATCGATATGTCGTATCGCGCAAAAAATCAGAAATATGATCGTATACGCGTTCCAGGTGTTCGCTCCGAATATCCTACACTGCGTGAAGCCCAGTCAGATGAGGTCGGAGGTCTCGGTGGAGAGAGCCGAGGAAAGGATAGATGTGATAAACGTCATGCGGGCACTCCTGGAACACACATCGACCTTGTTCATGGTACCGGCGGCTCTGCTGGACGAAGTGTACCAGCATATGATGGACACCCATCCAGCAGATTTGGATATCGCTCTATCTCGTCGCGCCGAAGAGTGAGTATCGTATTTTATTGTCATCTTAATAATCGATTCTCAATTAATAATTACGTAAGAAATGCACAAATTTCGATCATTTTATACCGAATCGCGATTTTGAATGGTACATATCGCGAGAAATTTCTTTTGTTAGCTTTTAAAATAGAGAATAATTTTTTTTGTAATTTGATAGTGTATCTAAAATATAAAAATTTATTATTTGTATAATAATTTTTATTCATCGTTATCATATTTGTCTTTCCTCATAATTATTGCACGATCTAAAGTATCGTTTAAACATTCTATAGCTTTAGTAGAAAACAAAGAAACAATACAACCCAAAGTTATAGAAGCAATACAGCTATGAGCTACATAAAGATTGCAAAGTATGTACGCACAGCTGTTAAAGTTCCAAAGTGTCAAGTAACTATACCCGCTCTATAGACCTGAAATTGACTTTGCAAAATTAACGCTGTTACACTTATTGGTCTATGAACGATTCTATGTATTTTATAAAATACTTTTTCGAATATTTTATATCCCCCTAATAAAAGTGATTTTTTTGGAGTCGTGAATTTTGTCCTTGACCTAACGGACGCCGAGTCTCTTGTTCATGAGCGGCGATCGATGCCGCGAGGTAAGGATGCTCTTCGCATATTTACGCCCTTGCGAATTATAGTGTAACAATATCGACTTGAAAACGTTGAAATAAAATTTCGCACGTGCCTTTGCAGACAATGCGGAGATGATGTGGATCCCTGCAGCGAGGCGGAGACGTTCTCTGTGGAGGAGACGCTGACTATGTCAACAAACACCGCGGCAACGACGACATCGACGAAAAAGGTGCTACGATCATGCACTTTATTATCCGTTTGTCCGACAGTTAAATTTAGCGTTTGAAACTTGAGATGAAAGAGAGTCAAAGAAATCGGATTTAAAAAAGGGTAGATTTTATAAGCGTCACCAAGATTCTCTAGACGAACGTTGCGTTTGTAATTTAAACGTTTGGAATCAAGCTTGTAATTGCAAGATTCACTCTTAATGTCAAACTAAACTCTTCTAAATTTTAGATTTAAACTACTCTTTCTCTAAAAGTTTCAATTATGCACTCCAGATCTGCGATTTTTAAAATTACCTCTCGAAATTGCATAATTTTGAATTTTATCAGAATGCATGCAAGCGCTTTTCAATAGTAAAAAAATTCAACTTTGTGATACTTTCAAGCTTGATTAATTAAAAAAGAATTTAAAATATAAAAATTGCTTTAAATTAAAAATCTAAGAGCGATTATCTAAAATTACGCATGAAAAATACAATTTTATATCTCAGCAATATTTCATCGTTATTAAACTCTATCTTATTATTAAACTTGTATTACGTGTGATATCGTTAATCGGAATTACGGTTCTCTTACTCCAGATGTGGACGAGAGAGCAGTGTTTACATCAAACCGCTGGGGTCGGCGGTGACATAGGACCAAGACCGCGACGGCCCAAGAGACCAGGAAGCCGGAGAAAGGAGGAGGGCAGGAGCAACAGCGTCGATAGCGGATCGAGCGAGGATCCGTCTGATCCTCGCCGAAGATCCTCCCCAGTAGTGATTACCGCTAGTCTCACCATACCCATGTCCGACGCGTTCACCCTGAACCTCGATGATCCGGACATTCCTTACATCGAGGAGGCACCGAAGCAACCGAGTGCTCCCCCGAGGCGGCAGAGGCAGAGATCCATCTCCGGTTGCAGCGAAGGTTCGCTTTTCACACGTAATTCGATACCGATTCGTGTTGCATAGATATTTAAAAACCATATTCAAATATATTGCACACATTAATTCTATAGAAAAGAAAATTAATCCCACGCGATAAGTTGCCTATATAATATATTAATTCGCGCATTTTCATCAGATATTAATTTTTCGAATAAATTTTAAAATACGCACAAGATAAAAAAGTTATAGGTATTTAACTCATCTTGATAAAATGGCAACGATTAAGAGGAAGAAATAGATAATGTTATTTGAAGCTTTCGAGAGCGATCTCGTCTAAATAAACTATTAAGAAGAAGTAAATAAAGTTATATCTACGCTTGCGGATCTCAAATAAACTACGTTTGCGCGGATTCTCTGTCTTAGCTAGACACGCTGTAATACTTGTAACAATTTACGATTATGATGGAATTAAAAATCTGGAATCGTGAGGCTGCGCGGTCTCAATCTAATATCGTCGCTCTCAGGTGGAAGACACGGAAGTGACAGCGCTGTGGGTTCCTCGGCGACCCTGTCGGGCGATCAAGCGCCGAGCTCCCCGCCGTCGTGGGCGTCGTCGCCCCCGGCGAGTCCCGATAGCGCGGTCACCGCCGTCTCGTACATCCCGGATCAGCAAGCGGTTCTGCAGAGGGTCTCGTTCACGACCTCGAGCGAGGTGAGGCAAGTGGGCAGATCGACCGGCCAGCAGGAAACGATCCGGAGTATAGCGGCGCCGTACACGCCGAGCATCACCAGCATCGGTGGTGCGGTTTTGAGGCGAGTACATTCTGTTGCGGTTATACCTCTTCTCCCCGCCCCCCGTCTCTTCCTCCTTCCTCCTCCAAGTCCTGAAGTCTCCGCAAAGTTTCGCACGACTTGCTGGAGACGCTGGTTGCCGCGATGATTTTTTTTTATTGAGATTGAGGGTGTGGACGCATCGACTCATTCTTCATGTAACCGTTGCAACTAGAAAATCTATTTGCCTTGTGAACAGTTTCCCAACACGTATCGCGTAGACAAACTTTCGTTTTATTTCGTGATAAGACAGAGTCGATCGTTTTGCAGACCTTCTTATAAAATAGTAACCTTCGAGTTTCAAATACTTGAGAAATTTGTTGACGCAAAATTTCTGAAAATTCCTCATTAATTCCGCTATTAATTAATTCCATCTGGATAAACTTGTTAAAACTGGCAACGTTTCTTACACACGAACAGTTTTTTGCATACTTGAAAATTTAATTACTACGATATGCAGCTTAATAAAAAAAATCTCGCGGCAAGATTACTGATCGAACAATTTAAAAAAAGATAAATAAATAAATTAATTAATAAATTTAATATACTTGCGACCTAACGCGGATTTGCGCTCGCGTGATTCAGGTCCAAGACCGCCGATATCGAGAGAATGCTGCAGATCTCGCGGCGGGACGTCGACCTCGCGTCGACCCTGCAGACGAGCAAGAACTCGACGGTGACCTCCAGCGAAAGCAAAAAGTACACGAAGAGGCGTTACACGGACACGAGGCATCAGACACGCCACATACCCGATGCCGACACCCTAGCTGGCAAGACGTCGCTCGGCGTGACGTCCACGTCGGCGATACCGTCCTCCGTCACCTCGGCGATGACGACAACGCAGAATCAACGTGTACAAGCGCAGCCGGTGTGGAAGAGGCGGGAACTGATCTCTAGCGCACCGAAGGATCGGGAGGGATACTTTTAAATTATATTCGCGTTGACATGTCGAATCGAGATTGTGATTGTCGGTGAATTAAGTTACTTCAGCATTATTATCTTGATATAACAGCAAATAAATTTTTTCTGAAAAGATTGCCTCGATCTGGAAGTCGAGGATGTCTTGAAAAAAGTTGAAACGATATAAATATTTTTCTCATTTATCGTTTTATAACAAAACGTTAGATTGAATTATTATAGCAATTTTACATAAAGAAGAAACACTTTAAACTTTTCTTTACACTCAATTCTATAAAAGTTGAGTCTATTCTGAATAAAATGAGAATATGCCGCAAAATTTATCGATATATACTGCGATATATTCTCAACAAACAGGTAGATATGACCATCTTAAAGTAAACAATAGCATATTTTTCAGAAGTATCATTCTAAACATAAATAAGGAAGTTTAAGAACATAAAAAGAAGTGCTATAAAAGAAGAAAGAAGAAAGCACATGTCCTGACAGCTTTATAACTGTTCGACATATTGATTATAAAATATGCAAAGCTATAAGAAAAAGTATAAATAATTCTTAAATTGTTATTTATAAGAATACAAAGTCGAGGCGATGGCTGCGAGAAAGAAAACAATTTTGCAAATTTCTAATTTAATTATTTTTAAAATTATTTTTATAATTATTTTTAAAATTTATTTTAAAATTATTTTTGTAATTATTTTTTTTCACAGCTGAAAAATTTGTATTCTCTCCTCTATATGTTTGGCGAAATACTCTATAAAATAAAAACCCTGAGAATGTTTTTCTCACAAAGCGTTTTGATTTATACGTGTTTCTCTTTTTTTCTCAGTCAATGTCTCGACTCAATCTATCGTAATGTTTTATCATCTCTGGAAAAAAATGTGCCATCCTTCGATAACACTCATCTTTCGTCATTTCGCACAAGCGTCCAATCCATCTCCAATCTCGATTCGATAAGGCGGCAATCACTGTCGTTGATTAGGTGGTCTCAAAAAAGTGTTCCTCTGTTTTTCGTGATCTCGCGAGATTCGATTGGTTCTTAGATTAAGTCCTCGTGCTTGCGAGGGATCTCCGTAAACGGAAGCATTCTCGTTTCGCGGCATCTTATCGACCCTTTGCGACGGACCTTGACATTGTTGGACGACGGGTGCTCGAAAGGACAGGAAAATTGATGTGAAACGCATAACGTAGAACATTTTACCTCAATCTTTGCGATGTAAATATTAAAATTGTCGCAGTTGCTAGACATCGGTCTGGAAATTGTTATGTCTCGTCACTTGTGAACGATCGAGAGTCTGATATTTAATTTGTCTTTTCTAATTTGCCCTCTCTACGACACGATTATTATCGCCAATTGCCGTGAGGGAGGCGTGCGTCATATTATCGTTGTCGTTAAGTTTTTTTTTCAATCTAGATAATAAATGAAATTAATTTTTTATCATGTGTTGTATCTTATTTTAACCTTATCGCACATCAAAAATCAATATATATATATCTAGATATTTAAACAAATTGAATTTTTATCTTGTCAAGTGCTTCTCTAAATATTTCCCCTTTCCTAAATTATATTATTATACATAAACTATTTCTCAACATTTCTTAATGATTACTAATCAGTAATATTCTATAAAAGATATCCGTTAATATTCGTTTCTTTTAAATTACTTTATAATCTCCTCAATCCATATTGTTAATTAATATTTATAGTTAATATTAATACCGGAAAAATAATCTTATAGCATATATATTAAAAATACATATCAAAATATATCCAAATAATTTGAAAATGTACAAAAACATTTTTTTAAATATTAAAATCATTAGTGAAAAGGATAAGTAGTATCAGGACGAAGATGGATGGGTATTACTGTGACTGTATATGTTGTAAACTTGATACACGACAGTGATGTTCTTGAAATACTTACACCAATATATAACATCATAATCGATATAATCGATGAATATCTATCCCCTGGAAAATTTATTGAAACGCATTTATTATTCAATTTTTCACTGTGCTGTCCTTGACGAGCACTTACATCACGATTGTAATATCATCGAGTACGTACGAATTTTACAAAAACAGCCGGCTTAACAAGTAGGTAGGTGCAAATGTGACAAATGTGCCGTTCGAATTTAAACGTGAACGAATATCCTCATATAGATATGTACAGTATACGATTATATCGTTGATCGGTTCGGTATCTAAATCAATATATAATAAAAGTTAATTGTTAACATTATCTAGTGAACGATAACAATAAAACGAAATATATCATAACAATCTTGATATCATGGAATAACACGAGAATGCAGTTGCAGTGATAATTTTGCAATCAAGAAGAGAATATTATAGAGAATATTATATAAAGAAAATATTTCAAAATTTTCCAACTTTTTAAATTATCGGAATTTAAAGAATTAAATTGGTAAATTAAAATAACGTATTATATTAATTGCTTCTTTTCAAAAATTTTTTTGTCGACATTATTTTATGAAGCGACGTATAAATTAATTATGCGATTAAAGCTTGTCAAATAATCAAATAGCGAATTTTTAAAGAGATGATGACCTTATGTTCTAAAAATTTAGAGCTGATTCTTAAATGCATAATTCTTAATTGCATTTTGCTTCATTATTATTTATTGATATAATTACATGTTGCCAATTTGATGTCTATTTTTATTCTGACGCAAAATTATCTCTGCCGCGGCACCTTTAATCCATTATCGCGACATGTTTGTCGCAATAAAACATATTGGAACGAATGATCAGGTGAAGACCTTTTAAAAGTCTCAATAAAAGAGCATATTGCATATTTAGGGAGTCGCGATTGATCTCGCTGCATATTCGCCTTATCAAATAGATCTTAATTTCTAGTTTAATTTCACGTTCGTAAACCTGCAATTTTTTACGAGGATCGCGTGATAATAAATTAAATTTCGATACCAACAAACGATCATTCGAGAAAGCAATCTGAATTGAGTGACCTTTAGGGACGATCCTGAATGATCGTAATTTCACGGCACGAATATTTTAACGAGGCCGGTTCTCGAACAATGCCACATAAATATCTTTGAAAATAAAGGTACGCAGATAACAATAATTTTATATAAATTTCTAGAGAAATCATAAGCGATAAAGTGTAATAATACTATTCGGGTAGAAGAAGAAAAAAAAAAGAAAAACAAAAGTGTCCCGATTTTCACGAGACGAGTAATAAATTTTTATCTCGCGTATGCAAGTATACACATACGTAGATTTGTATATATATATAATTTATAATTTTTGTTTCTTTCTCTCTCTATATATATAATATATATTAAAACAACCACTATAAAATATAAATATATTTATATATTTATAATATATATCTCTCTTTTTCTTGCCGTTTCACGGCTAGCTGCCTACGTAGGGCTGGACGGATACGATGTGATTTCACCTTCCTCTCGCGGCGAGGACAAGTAAGAGTATACTACTATAGGGATAAAATAATGTAAGAAAATAATAATGTAAGAAAAAAAATACAAGGGAAAAAAAAACGTATCACGTATCCTGCGACTTTCACGGCAATCCGTTATTAGCCGAACAGTAATAATCAACGATTCAATTTCTCTCTCGAGAGAAAATTATATGATTTTTGCAATACGAAAAAATTAGCTATTAAATAATTCCTTCTACATTAAAATTCAATTATTAACATATAGAGTGCTACAATGTTAAATTGATTGCAATTAGCATTAATCGATATTGGTGCAAACAGCTCTTAATTATTAATACAATTTCTTTTTTGTTAAATCCAATTGCAACTTAATTAAATTATGTGACTTTTAAAACGTGTAACAATTTCTACATAATAAGTGCAAATGTATCACGAATATTACCTCAATAAGAATAAACATTAATACTAAATGTTACAAAGTACTCGTTTGGACGGAAAATAGTTGATAATACTAATAATAATATGCGATTACACAACATTGAGATATTTATATGTTAAATCGAAAAAGTGTTAATTATTAAATTCGGTAACGATTCATTGCCGTGTCTGTATAGAAATCTCTACATACTTTAATGCGATTTATTTATAGATATATGTATCGCGTCGTTCTTGAAAATTTTAAAACGTTTTACACAACTATCACTATATTAACAGTCGAGTTTCTCAGTTAGAAAACATGTACTTAATTATATGATAAAAACGTAGTCGAAATGTTGTAATTGTATGCGCATATGTAATAAATGTGGAGACCATGTATGTTTTGAACTTTGCAACTTAATTTATCCAGCTTAATATTCAATTAAACTCTGACGTTACGCTTAATTAAATGGTGATTGCAAAGATTATCAGATTATTGCAGTTTGTATGAATACGGCTACGTAATAAAATAACTTTCCAGTAACACGTGCGACTGAGATAATAATATGTTATATCACAAGCAGAATTATGTTTGGTTACTTACTTGCGTTTTTATTTGAAACAAATTGAAAATCTAATTAAATATTTTCACTAGGTGAATTCTTCGAAATGCAAATTGCAAATAAAAGATGCGTAAAATGGAGATCAGATTCTTGATGATACTTTAAACTACGCGTGAGTTTCGTACGCCTTCGGCTTCACGAGGAAATGTTTCGTTACATTATCTAACAATTTTTTTTGTTTATTATCAGTTCTTTTTTTTGGCGTGTAAATACAAATATATTTAATAAGGCAAGAGAATAGAATGGAATTGCTATAGTGCCTTGAAACAGAATGCACACATGTACATGTACTCTTCATTTCATAAATTTTGTCAAAATCTGGTTGGAGTTAATATCTTTTTTTTTTATTTTTATTTAATTAAAATTCATTCTTTTTCATTCGTAATAAATTTTTGTCTAAAAATTTTTTAAAGAAGAGTCGACGTTTATGTGAGTTCAATACAAAATTTACAATTTATATTGAAGTTAAATTCCTGATTTTGATCCTGTATAAACTGTGTGTAATGTGCGAATTTGATTGTTGACACTTTATAAGACTTACGGTATTAAATCTGAATTTATTTTCTATTTTACACACATTTATATAATGTACAATTATTTTTTTTTATTACTACACATATATTATAAAGATAACGATTTTTATCATATTTATATAACAATATTAAAATTTTTATTTGTTTTCTTCAACGTTGATGTATTTCTTTCGTCCATTTTATTTTCTTGCCAGTACTCTTATAATTCATTATCCATTTTATTACTCGATTTACACCGAATAACATCATGTAATAATATAGTAGTAGAAAAGTGTAAAGTGACGTAATACTTAACGAGTTACCGTCAATTTCGCGTTTAATCTGGATTCGCTTAATATTTAATTCAGGTAGCTTCGGAGAGCTCTCTCTCTCTCTCTCTGACGATTATCGATCGCCTTTATCAATCTATTTACATTCGCGTCGCGTCGTAATAACGATAAATTTCTAGCGAGTTTCGTCTTCGAAATTAATTAAAAGTTCCATTATATCGAAATCATCGGGCGATGTCACCGACTTTGACAAAACACAGCTTCGCGCAAACTTCGATTTCGTTCTCAATCGCACATGAAAATCAACGACATTATCGGAGACTACCTACCGTTAATGAAACGTACCTCGTCAAACTATTTCTAGTAGATGTCTCTGATTTAGTAGTCGCCGTCATCTGATTTCTCGTCACGGCGTCCTTAAACGATCGATACTTGTGACTACAGTAGGGAACTCTCGCGTCAATAACGTGACAGGAGAGAGAGGAAGGCATCGGCTAAACTTCCGTCGAGTGCGTCTGTATACGCACTTTCTTCTGCGAGCCGTTCCTGGACAGAGTCGGGCTGTGCGCCGAGAAGCCAGGATTGTGAATGCCGAGGGGTTTCGGCTTCTTTAACGAACTCCTGAGTGGCGAGGCCGTGCTCGCCACGCTCGCGGAAGTGGCCACCGATGCCGTCGATCCGTTTCCGGCCCCGCCGACGTACGGCTTGCCGCTGGCGTCTGTCATCGAGATCGAACCACCTGCAACAACACGCGGAATTAATAACGCGTCGCGTCAAAGATTTTATCCAGAGTACTTTCAAATTAATCAAATGTTGCATCGTCGAGCACGATCTGTCAGATGTGTAATATATTGCAGAAAATTGATTAGTGTTTTTTTTTAAAAACACACACACACTGTATATTATTGAAGAAAAATACCGCGTATTATCATTGCATTCAAACATGATTATAAAATTAAAAAAATAAAAGTAAAAATAAAATAAAATAAAAATAAAATAAAATAAAAATAAAAATAAAAATAAAATAAATATACAAATATTTTGTTTAATTTAGTTTTCGGTCTCTCAAGGCACATAAACTATATGAATTTCAAAAGAAAAAAGATGAACGCTATCCGAACATTTACCGTTTAATAATATTTGAAGTTATGCAGCTGTTTGGAATTTGCAGATTTATTTGGCACAGAATTATTGTACATTTTCGTTACCGATACGATTTTTTCAACACTTCCGATAATGCACAGATATAATCGCAAACGATATTTTTCGATACACGACAATTACATTGATAAACACTTTTATGAAAAATGATAAGCATGCGATCTAATTTCATCTTTTAAAAAAAAGTTTGGAAGCTCAAGAGAGAGAGAAACGAAGCAAAATTCTCATCACGTTTTCACTTTTTTTACATTTTATTTTCGATCGTCAGATAAGAGTTTCAAGAAACGTAAATTCGAAAGACGCTCCTTACTTTACAGTTTTCTATCTTTTTTTAGAGTCACATATGTGTTGTCATCTCGTTTCAATTTTCGCAGAAATTGCTGTGCGCAGAAATTTCGACGTGATATTTTATCGTCGACGCATCTTTAAATCGATGAACTGGCCATATATTATAAACGAAGTGAGCTCGTTTTTAAGAATTTCTCTTCCTGAATATAACATGCGCGCGATATAGCCTTGCATTTTTCAATATAGTTTCTCGGTTAATGTCATCCCAATTATCGCTCTCTAGGATTAATCTAAACCTTCACATCCAGATGCGCATTACTCAATTTATAATACCATTTATAATGTCAAGAATGATAAATTAATTACGTAATGAATATTGCGATACGTTTGTTAATAATTAACGACATAATTTTATTTTATCACATCACTTACCGCACTCTATGCATTATAATGTCACGTTTATGTTTAATACATACTTAATGCGAAACTAACGCGTAAACAATGTACTGTATACTATTCGTTTAACAAAAATTAACGTGTACGAAATGCATATACTATATCATTTAATAGAAATGTCACCTTAAAAAAAAACTAGCGAAATGCATATACTATTCATTCACTAGAGGTCGCGCTTAGAAAAAAAGCGTGCGAAATACTATTCGTTTAATAACCCTTGGTCTACAATCTTGCTTTAAGTGGAGTCGTAAGAAATTAACCAATCACAATTGATTGTGAGAAGAATAATTGAATACGATTGGTTAATTTCTTACGACTGCGTCACTTAAAGCAAGATTGTGGAAGGATAAGACTTGATTGTCAACATTATTTAAGCGAGATTTAAATGTGTTTATTCTTATCTTTTTATTTCTTTTAATAAATAAAGACAGATACATATTTAAGTTTTCGCTTAAAGCCAAGGTAACATTGATGCAATCAAATCTAATAAAACTAGCCTTTAATGACATCACGGCAGCCATATTTGATTCTCGGGATGACGGAATCGGACCAACTCTGTCGGAATCGGACCGGAAACGGAAATTGAGATATTTCGCAGTGTACTGTGTGCGATCGTTTGTGCTGGACGTTTGCCCAGGTAAATATAATCGCGGTCGAGTATCGCGAGTGTTCGAGTGTTAATCGATCGCTGAGATTAACGCTACGATTACGATCGCTGGAATTACGATCGCTGGAATCATAATACGGCATTTTACTGTCATAAAATTCACTTATCTTATATTACATCCGAGTTTCGATTTTTTGGCTATTGAAAATAAATATCGCGTGTGAATAAATCTGTGCCGTATCGGGAGTGTCGAAAAATGTATCGGGAGTGGCGAAAATATATCGGGAGTGTCGTATATTATTTGTTATATAGTTTTTATACAGTTTTTTTTACACCGATCTGAGTATGCGACAGTTTCGTCAGATGAACTCCGTGCGACTGTAATATTCAGACATTGTTTAAACAAGTAAGTGTTTACTTGCCAAGAAATTGAGTTATCGAAAATAAATATTTGCTATTGTTTGCTAGTAAGATTGTAATATCGGAAGGAAAGTCGCGAACGATCGTTGCGTTATGCGTAAATATGATATATCGCGTCGGTAGCGCGACAGTTTCGTCAAGTTAACTCCGTGCAATCGTAGCTCATTATTAACCGTATTAATAATCGATAAATATTCAATATAAAAAAAGATTTCCTGTCCAATCTTTATACGCCTCTTCGTATATTTATTACTCATCATTCGAGCGGAAAATTTATATTAAAATATAATGATATTATAATAATATTATAAATTATTATTTCATTAATTATTAATTATATCAATTACAATATCAATTAATTATATCAATTATATATTCATATATTTATTATTCACCATAAACTGTAATGATATACTCTATTAATATATAATCATATATATCGACATTATCAATTATTTTTAAATTACTATTATAATGTATGGCTAATAAAGAGATGCAATGGTGCATCATCGATACACGTTAGACGAAGTGTAAAACGACGAGGAAAAAAAATCATTTTCTTTTACGATCGAATGAGATTGAGCTTGCAAATTACGACGAAATAAATTTGATACGTCAGACGTCTTATAGGTCACGATGCACGGAATAAGCGGGCGTAGCACAGTCCTTACATTATAGTGGCTTGTTTAGCGCGCTCGCTATGCAACACGGTTAGCGAAGACACGCACACCACGATCCTGCCGCATATCCCGTGTTTGCGTATAAGACCGCAGGTAAACGCGCGGGAGAGCATCCTCGCGCATCCTCTGTAATATCCTCCGCAGTATCCTTCTGTCATGCGTCTGTTTACACCCAGCACATTCCCCAAACTTCATCATCTTCATTTCAGACGTATTTCTCTTTCGTGTGAGAGGTATCGACTTCCTGTCAGGTTAAATGAACGTCTTTCTCTATATAAGTCGGCCAAATATCGGCAAATATGACCTACGTGAATATCATAAAATTATCGTAATTTTCGCGGCGAAACAAAGTCCGGATGTTTCCGGAGGGAAAAATGCGGCGCGTTAATGAAGAAAAATGCCTCGCGACGATGTAACGCGGGAAAATATAGTCGTTGAAAATTATATTAAAGCTCGAAAATGTTGTTTAAGAATTCGAATACTTTATTTGATTCTATTCTGTGTATATATACAGGGTGTCAGGGCGATCTCTTTCCCCAAAAAAGCTCTTGTAGCTTACCTCGAGAGCTTTTCAAAACACTATAATAAAGTATTTTTTCATCGAGTACTTTTCGAGTTATGAGGCTTGAAATAATTTCTTAATTTTTACATAAACCATAAAATATCTAGTAAAATATCCATTTTTCGATTATCTTACCTCAATCCTTTTATGTACAAAATAATGAGAGAAATCAATTGGTGTAAGAAAAATACATAATTGTCTCGAAGAAAAAATATGTAACTTGCAATTAACAATTACATATTTTTTTAGATAAGATAAGATAATCGAAAAACGAATATTTTACTAGATATTTTATGTAAAATTAAGAGATTATTTCAAGCTTCATAACTCGAAAAATATTCGACAAAAAAAATACATTATTATAGTGTTTTGAAAACCTCTCGAGGTAACAGCTTTTTTTGGGAAGAGATTGCCCAGACACCTTGTATATGTGTGTGTCTTTATAATATTCATAATATATTGAACCCACGCTTTATCATACATGCTTAATGTTAAACACAAACGATAATGAAGGATACAATATACATGTATGTATTTGCGTTAAATGGACATACTTTGAGCTCGGCATTAATCGCAGTAATGTCATTAATCCCATTAATCGTTTAGCGCGCTTCCGCGCCAGATATCAACGTCATGTATAACGTATCTAACACACACACACACACACACACACATAGGAGATCGAGTCGAATTTCGCGAAATTAAACGACTGTCCGTTCCGCCCTTACCGTTCGTTGGTTGATGATACTCCCGATATCCTGGATTATTTATAGTCCCTCCACGGGGATCCGTGACGACCCTAATCTTGGTCGGGTCGCCGCCTCTTCGGGCGTAAATGCCCTCGTAAACGGCAGACACCAGTACGCCGAAGTTCAAAGCGATGGCAGCCAACTGCAACGATAAATATAACATGCACAATTTATTCAAAGCGCGATGAAACTTCGATGATGCGAATTTATTATATGAAACTTGCAACAGTCACATCGATTAAACACTCCCGAGAGCGAGAAAAAATCTTACGGTTTAATTGTATTTTTTAAATAATTTCTTTTACTTTTTATCACCACTTGCTTTTGCCAATGACATGCTTATGAAATAAATAAATCGATACGAGATTATATATAGAAGCGAAAAGACACGCGTGTTGCGCTCTTTCTTTCGAGATATAAAATTGATGGAATGTCTCGTACAAATTTGATCGCGTCAATTTTAAATTCTTAATTCTAGATATTGGTCCTGCTACACGCTTCTACACAGCACCGAATAAAATTCAAGAATACGAATCTTACATAATCGACGCTAAAGCTGATATTCAATGGCGCTAAAGTCTAAATTTATTAAAACAAGATCCATCACTATTACGTACTTTTCATTCTGAAATAAAGACTTCATTCGCGTGAAATGAGAGAATGCGTTTATCCGGGGAATCAAATAAAGCCACGACGTGCCCGGGGTGTAAAATGTGTAAATTTCACGTACGGGAGTTCCACCTGTTCTTCCCCAAGATTCGCGCATTTATTTCGCTTCCCCGCTAATTGGCTCGCGGACGCCAATTAGTCGTCGCGCACCATCCGCTGCTCTAATTCGCCGCTTGATATAGCATCGGCCGTGATATTCTCATCGGGAGAACATCGGGAGATCTTCGTTACACAGTTCGCGATACGTATACGCGGTTCTTATTATCCCGGAGAGACGTTTGTACAACAAACACCGAGAGCGCAAACAAACGTCTCTCATTCTCCTTCCTTCTCCCTTTCGAGCGTCGTCCTTTCTTATGCGGCGTGCGAGTAACTAGGGGATCCCCGTCGCGTACACACTATCGATACGAGAGGAGAGGCATCATCCGTAGGTGGCGATCGGCTGGACGGTGGAAGGAGCGCGCGAGGAAGGGGAGACAATTTAATTAGGGCCAACAAAGAAGCCGCGCGCGCCATTGTTGTTCCGCCGCTATAATTAATCTGGCCGTCCAGTGTGTTTGCCTTTTTTCTTTTTGTCCTCCTTGGGGACGAGCGTCGCGATCGAGCTTATCTCCCCTACATGACGGAGACGCGATAAAAGGGAACGTGGCGATGAGCCAACCCTTTCCTCCCTTCGCCCTTTCGTTTATCAAGGCGATGATTATTTTACGGAGGAAGAAAGAGGCATACGAAGCGGAAACGGAAATGTCGAGAGATGTATTCCAGGAGAAGCTGTTTGGAAATTCCACGAGTACTTGCGTGACGCTTGCGTGAGCCATTTCACGAATGTTTCATGCGTTATTTAGCCAGCATGTTCGGATATGGACACCCGTTATATGAACAGGATGATTTCATTGCGTCGCGATAAGAACCCCGTGAGATATAGTAGCTATTATGTGGGGCACTTGAGTCAAACTTATCTCGGAGATTTTTTTATGCGATACCTTTGTCGCGAAATTATTTATACGTGACTTGGTTTACTCGAGGAGCTTATATACAGGGTGTTCTTTAATAAATGCGACAAATTTCAGGAGGTGATTCTTTGTCGAAAATTAAAGGGGAGTTTTTCATATAAATATATACTCCTACATCTCTTCTCGTGTAGTTACACTTCTCTAAAAATGAGGGTAAAAATTAGGTTTTTATTTTTTTCTCAAATTTGGAAAAAAGTAAAGAAATGAAATTAGGTGGATATTTTCTACTAGTGAAAAGGTTATTTATTAATACGCAATAAAATTATTTATTAATATTATTTATAATTAAATATTTAACTAAATATTAATTTATTAATATTATTAATATTATTAATATTATTTATTATTTTTTTCAGACTTCCATATTGTTATAAGAGAATGAAACTAGCAATCTCTATTCAATTTTTTATTAAAACTTTTTAATGTTTATATGAAACATTAATTTACTCTCCTTCATTTTCGACAAAGAATCATCTCCTAAAATTTTTCGCACTTATTAAAAATCCTGTATATATGTATATAATTTCACGTAATATTATTACACTTTATTTCAATTACAAATTCTTCAATGTATACATCTCTTTCTCGATCATAAATTATCGAGGCAATTATTGAAATAAAATGGAAGATTATTATTTATTATTATTATTATGCATTATTATTCATTATTATTTGATTAAAGTTATATTATTTTCATCGAACATATTCTAAAATATTATTATGCCGCGTAATGCTATATATTGACATAGCAGCAAGGTAGCAAAAGTGAGAACTTACTCGATTGAACTGTTTTGAGCGATTACCTTATCTTGTTTCTGCTTATTCATTCTGTCCAATTCAATTTCGTCCTTAGCCCTTTTCAAGAGACTCCGTTTCCTTTTATCCATTCTCGTGTACTTTTGACGAGAGAATATCATTGACATGTCATTCTCTTTTAACGCAACAGAAAAAAGCAATTTTTGCTTTGAACAGAAATTTTGCGAGCCAAAAATACACGATACCCAGCGATCAATCTTTATCAGAGACGATAGATCGCTCCGTCTTCTTTAAGACTAGGGATGGAAAAAAACCGTCGTTCAGAAAAATACAACTAACATCTCCGCAAGTGGCAAAAAAAGTGTCGCGTTCAACTTGCGTGCGATGACGAGTGGCTGAACAAGAGAAAAAAATTCACTTATCGCGAAGCCGAGAACCGGGACAATACGATGAGTTCGCTAACGATCGGCACCAAAACACTCACTGCGAGTCCGCCAATGTCGGCCTATTGTTTTAAAAGTATCTACGAGTCGTGGCCACTCCGACACATACTAAGTCGCACAGGCTAAAGGAGGGGCTTAAAAGAACACCTGAGCCTCCGGTTCACGATCAGGTGGCTTCTAAAGCGTTTAATTCTCTCTGGTCAGATATGCGTTTTCCGGCCCGTTGACGTTTCGCTGGCACGCGAGCGAAATATATTATTATACTAATCGAATCGTCCTGATATTTTACTCGTTTTCTCTTCTATGTCTTAAGTCTTTTAAATTAAATCCTGCACCCTCGAAGCAACAGAAGGGAATAAATTGTTAGAGTAATCCGTCTTATATACTCGCGATGTTGTAATCTAATTGAATTCCCACACAATGAAGGGAAATCTGCGGAATCTCGGGGAGATATCTCCTGCTGGGAGATCATAATATCCTTGAGAATTTTATTTGATAGGAGACGAGTTTGACGTCTATACAAGTTTAGATGATATTTTTAAGCTGCATCAACGTAATTACATGTCACACTTTCAAGACTTAAGTGTCTTGAAATATTGAGAATTTCTAATTTAAATTTTTACACATTTTTTTAAGATAGTTTTTAAATATTCTCTATGAAAGCACAACTTTAATAATTTATCAAAATAAATTAAAATATACAACACGCCTTACATCCGCGTTTGGCTCCTTATGGCCTATCAATATTTTAATTTATTTTGTTAATTTCGAGAGCCTTTAATTTTGTTTATATTTTTTATTTTTATTTAATAATTTATATTCTACGTTATAATAAATTATTAATATTTTAAATATCAAGCCATGTTTTTCGAGCATTTCCCTAATTAATTCTAGCATGTCTTGTTAAATTTTCAGCGTTGCAAAAAACAGAAAAATAAAAAAATAAATAATAAATAGAAATTATAATTTCACGAGGTAATTTAGCAATTTGATATCTGTGACATGTGCAAGTTTCAATTTAAGAATTTTAAATGAGAATTTATTTTAAACGATGCGGGATCCTTTTATTCAGACTTATATATTTTTCTGCCTCTCACGTGCGGAATAATCGAATCGCGAAGAGGCGTAATATCGTATCGAGTATTTCCTCGACGGAATCTGAAGGTATTACTGTACCCGGTTGTGTAACGACCGAGTGCACGAGTGTTTCATCCGCATTGAAAGAAACCCGAGCTGCCATCCCGCGATAAGAAGCAACTTTAAAGGCGTTGACGACGACGTTATCGCGCCAGTTTCATAAAACGTGACGTTCTTTTACGTACAAATGCTTTCGTCGCTACCTTGCATCGTTCTCTCTCTCTCTCTTTCTTACTCTCTCTCGCTCTGTGCGATCGATACTCAATTTAAATTACTATTCATTGCCGACGACAAGCGCAATTGATCTTTTAATTAGCCTGCACATCCGCAAAGTCGATTTAAGCGTTCGGTTTTACGCGAATAAAAAGATGGGACGGATTTTTACTTAAAAAGAAAAACTTATAAAAACTTATAAAACTTATAATCTAGATATCATTTAAAAATGACTAGATATTACTTGGAGGAATTATAGTTTATTTCATCTCTCCTATTGTCAGAATAAAGTAACATATGTGTGAGAGAAAAATATTTTCTATCAATCCAATATCACAGTCAATAGTAGCTTATCCTTGGATATCAGCAATAGCTTTTGGCGTATTATTCTCCATCCTTTTATATGAGAGTTATTCTTTTTAACGTCGAGAGGTCCATAATAATGCGCTTGTATCTTTCGGTGATCTCGTGATCTCCGCGAGAGCATCTCTTCCGACTTTTATCGAAATATTCTTTTCACGCCTACCAGCGTTCAATAAGTAAGGGTACCATCTGTTGCTTGAAGTCTGAAGTAAGGATTTTATCTTCGCTCAGAATTGTGGCACCTGCCCCGAGGCGAATCGCTTCCTCGGGAAATTGTCATATAAATCATTCTCGTCATTTATTGAACGCGCGACATGCGTTCCATGTAATTCGCGGAATACGAATCATACTTCCCATTAATTACGGATTATTTGATAACTCTAAAGTCACTTGTAACTACACTGAGAAAAGTATCCGGTGAAAAGGTAACGAATAGATATTATACCGATCACTTTAATCGGAAAAAAAAGAAACTGGTCAGATGTCCAATCAGAAAATATCGATCGATCGTATATCTGATCAGAAAGTTCCAAATTCGGAACTTTCTGATCAGATATTCAATTAAAGTGATCGCTATAATATCCGTTCGTTACCTTTTCATCGGACATTTTTCTCAGTGTACATGATATCTATCACTCAAGATAACGCGTTGCTTTCATCTATTCGTATCTCTGCTACTTAAATAATCAAAATCATTTTTAATTTGACAATTTAGATTAAAGATCATATATCATATGATTCTGATATTGCTAATTAATTACTGACTAAAGTAATATTTTTTACCAATGTTTTAAATAATTATATTATACAGTATAAATATGCAAATCAGGAAAATGCAGTAGTGCAGCTGATTATGCGTGCAACAGGTTCCGAAATTAATAAACGACGTCGAAGCGAATAACGTGTTATAATCACACATCTATCAAATGGATAGAAATTAGAAACTTGAAGACGAACATTGAACGTGCATCGAAACTTATCTCGCTTATTAACGGTGTCGCGTTAATTCGAAGCAATGAGAAATCAATTAGGACACTCGCGTTACATTAACAGGTGCATGTTGCGTTGAAGACATTGGATGAATAAAATTATCACGTCATCCATATTTGTGGTGCGAAATTTTGCAAATTCAATAAATTAGCAACGAAATTGATTCGTTATGCGATGCTAATGCAAGAGCGCGAAAAATAAAAAACACACGGTGAAATTATTATTAAGCTCGAAATTTTTTAAATACTTTTCTATTGCAAAAAGAACAAAATATTAGCGTCTTGATATAAAACTGTTTTCCGCGACGCATAGTTATTTTAAAATAAAAAATTTCCGATAACACAAAACATATTCTCTCGAATTATGTTAGATATTGCAAAAATGTCTTTTATCTGTTTTTATTATATATGTATATTTTAGTTCTTTATACATATACACACACACACACACACACATGTGTGTGTGTGTGTATATATATATATATATATATATATATATATATATATATATAATATTTTTTTTTATTATTGAAGGATTTTATAATAAATTGAAAAAACCGATAATATGCCACTATACAAGTATACTTTACCTGCATATAAAAGGCCTCTCCTCTCGTGATGACGAAGCTATTAGCTCGATCATCCGTTTGTAAAGCGAAGAGGCTCGCCGCCACAATCGACAACGCCGCTAAAAACATAATATCAAATATAAATATAATCTGATTTAAATAAAATAAAATATAAAATAAAAGATAAAATTTTCAATCTTCAATCTTATATACGTATCTTCGCTTGCTACATATGTTCGTTTGCGGATTAATGCTTTTCGTCTATATTTATATAACTCGATAAGATTTAAGATTGTTTGATTCAAAAATATTTTTACTACCGACTTTTCACAGGTATATAAAGTAAAGTTACTGTTTCAATAAAAATTTTATGCGTTGAGAATTTATTTGCAATACATTCTGATTTATGTATTATAAATTCCTATCATCCTTATTTATAAATTTTTACCCAATGCTTTTCATTTCGAATGTGAGACAACAAACTTTTTTCTATCACGAACCCATATATATTTGAAAAACTTTAGATGACAAAAATTACATATATTCAATTTTACACAATAATTTAATACAATTATAGACAATTTTATATTATAGAATATATATATATAAAAACTGGAGCTAAAACTGGAGCTGGAGATAAAACACGAGTAAAATATATTAGCTCCTATTTTTTAATTTACACGCAGTTATCTTCGGGAACAAAGCGAGTGTACGGTATGCTCTCTTATGGCATTAGATATATCACTTTACTGTAATACGATCTCCGGTGGATATTCGATGCCTATCGTATAAGGGCTTGTAAGTAGGCCAGTAAGTAGAACGAGCGAGTGGTAATTCTATTATGTGTCTACAGTATTGCAAAATTGCTAAACGATAAAAAGAATTTCTACGTGTTGAACGTGATTCGGACTCTTTGTACTTTCGTATGTCAAGACCTTGACCCGCGATGCTACGTAATGCGTAGTACGTAAGAATCGATTATGTAATGCACAGTGCGTAAAAACAAGGGAAAAGAGTATGCATGTAGCATATAGACGAGTAATCTCTCAAAGATATCTTGATAATTATAATTTTAAAAATAACAGGAAAATTATTCAACGATGGAGATAAAAATAATGTATATTATACATATTATAATGATAATAATATATATATTAATAATAAATGAAAATAATAATATATACTAATAATAATTAAAATGTGTGTATGAATTTTAAATTGTATGCAAATTTTGTACGTAGATTAAATTATTGCTAATATAATTTTTATCGTCATCCATACAGCCACACTGAATTAAACATAACATATTTAACTCTGACAAGTATACGCTACATGTATAATGTATTAAATATCTTTCTCGAAATGCAACACTTTGATATTAACATATAACGATAAAATAATGTTAGCCTCGAAAAATTCACAGAGTTACGTCTTTTTTACAAAACGACTTGTTTTATTTATTTAATTATAAATAAATTATTTTCCTTTCGACCTGAATCATTTCTCAGCAAATTAGCATAATCTTTGATGTATCAATTATTTAATAGTGCATCACATTGCATTTACATTATTTGATTTACTTGGAAAATAAGTTTTATTTTTTTCATTCAACATTATCTAATAAGCCGAGCAGAAAATTTGAAATTTAAAAAAATCATTAGATTGGAAATTATTTACAAAAGTTTGCATTAACACAATTACATCGTTATTTTTTCACGAAGCCATGTTATATCAGATCTTGTTATAAACAGATCCTGTGTTTTTTTGCTTAAATTTTGTATTGATGAGAATTTATACTCACTTGCTAATGTAGCGAGGGCAACTTTGCCTATTAAGGCAGTGCTGTACGAAATTACAACCCGTTTCGCGGAAGAGGCCATGGCTAATTGAAGCACAGCCAAAGCGACCAGAATCGCCAAAAGGGCAGAAGCGCCAGCGGCGGCTAATCCTGCCATCCACACAGCCACTGAAATAAAGGAGAAATCCCATCGTAATTCTATTGCGTTTTATTGTAATCCCGCGCTCGTGCTGGGATTTTTGTCGCGTTTATTTTTATAGCGCTGCTAAAATGCAAAATTCCGTAAATAATTCCACCTTTTTCAAATTACGCTTTTTCTAATAACTTAACGATTGTATGATGAAAGAAACGGGAAAACAATTAATCAGGAAGAATTTTCATTAATATCGAACGTAATAATCAATTTTAATATGCATTTACATTAAACATTTAATAGTTATAAAAATATTGATTTAATCTTTGATTCAGGGGATAAAGTGTACGCAATTTTTATAAATTTATCGCGATTTTTTTTAAATCGTCAAATAATGGAATTATAAATAAAACTGAATTTTTATTCACCAACGCTATCTAACTTTTAGTTTGAAATAAAAAGCAATTTGTTCAAAGTTTAAATGAGAGAAAAATATTAATTTTAGAAAAATCCATAAAAAGCGGATAAATTTACATTTACTGAACCTTGTCAAATGTTACTGGCAAAATTTTTTCCATTAAATATTTCCGCAAAAAATTTTGTAATTGGCAATGTTTACGAAATCTCGTATATAGCGACTGTCATTCTATTTGATTAGTATCAGAATTAAGCAATAAAGATGGGAAAGCATATCTTTAAGGTACAGGCGGATATTAAAGATGAACGTTCTCTTTATAATCACGTATTAAATAAAAATTATTTATATAAAAACAAAACTCACACACTGGTTGAAACCTGGAGACGTTTTGGCCGCACCACTCTCGTCCGTAAAGAAGCAGCTTGCATTGTCTCCATGGTCCAAAATAACCTTTCTCCGCGGCAGTGCCAGCTGTAACAAACGAAAGAATTGAATGATAAAAAATTTTACCTTCTCATCTTTAATAAACGGCAAATGTGCGGTAAAAAGTTACACGCTTCCATATTTGAGCGATATTTTGTCTCAAAACTTAATAATTAATAAAATATAATATGATGCTTCTCTACCGCGCTTAATTTTGGAATGCATAATTTAGTATGTCAATTTGACTCAACCGTTATTTAAATTGTAAATTGCAGGGAGGATTTTGTCGAATTAGCATATAACTATTCTGCATAAAAATAAAGAAAAAACATAAAAGAAAATAATACATATAATCGTAATGTATATACGTAATGTATATACGTAAAAATTATTAGGAGTAAATAAGAAAAAAATGTAATATAAATCATAATTTTCGCATTAAAAATTAATTATCTAATAATTTAATTAAAATTCAAACACTTAATCAAAAGTAATATTTACTCTCGAGATACGTATATCAAGTTTCAATATTCAACTATCAATTATCTCTTTTTTCGTTTCGTCTTTTAATGATTGAAAAATATTACGAGAGAAGAAAGTGTTATAATCTATTAAATTTATGTGTGTGTGTGTGTGTGTAGAAACTGATGTAAACATATATATATATATAGCGAATATATAAATTACGCACATGTTATATGAGATTAAGATGAACGATACGTCTTTCTTCTATATCGAAAACATACGTGACTATTCTACGTAAAAATAAAGGAAAAAGAAAACATAAAAGAGAGAAAATACAAAATAGTATATATAATCATAATATATATACGTAAACATTATTAGGAGTAAATAAGAAAAAAATGTAATTTAAATCATTATAATTTTCACATTAAAAATTAATTATCTAATAATTTAATTGAAATTCAAACACTTAATCAAAAGTAATATTTACTCTCGAATCGAGATTATACGTATTTCAATGTAACAGTATCAAGTTTCAATATTCAACTATCAATTATCTCTTTTTTCGTTTCGTCTTTTAATGATTGAAAAATATTACGAGAGAAGAAAGTGTTATAATCTATTAAATTTATGTGTAGAAACTGATATAAACATTATATATATATATATAGTAAATATATAAATTACGCACGTATTATATTATGGGACTAAGATGAACGATACGTCTTGCTTCTATCTATATCGAAAACATATGTAAGAATAAAGCGAACATTCCACATCGATTCCGACGTCAAGTACGCGCAAAGTCAAGTAAAAAACAATACAGACTCTCGATACCTCTGCCCCCTCCCTACCACCTACCGCATACCATTGCGCGTCAAACATTGTAGCAGGCAGATACAATACCCCTTCCCCCACCACTCGCATTCCAACGACGCCTCAAAATAAAGAGCGTTGTCTTTATCGGACGGTCGAGGCGGAAAGAGCTCTCGCTCGAAATTCTTTCCATTCGCGCAAAAATGAAACTGTCTCTCAGAATATTTATAATATTACATTTAATTACCGCGTGGAATTGCGTATATTCTTTTATGTTCGGTAAAATATGTCGAGCACGCGATTCGAAGCGTCACGTCAATCTTGACCGTATTGGATGAAACGTCCGTTTAATCCGGATGTTAGGCAGGGAAACGAGAAAGTTGAACGAGCGAGAGACCTCTTCTTTCGTCTTTGCTCGAGGAAAACGATCGCGAGAGTAGCGTACGAACAAGTGGAAGCTGCAATTTCGCAGAGCTCGTTTCTTCGTTGAAACGATCCGTAAACTTGCCCGGCGCGAGTGATCTTCTCACCGCGAATGTCTATTTTATTTCAGTCGATCTCCCGGAGGAGGAAAGATACGCGATGCGCTTTTATTATTTTTTTTATTTATTATATGCGCGAAATCAAGGTAGAAATAAGATAAAAATTGTTTCTCGGCGAAAAATTGACTTTTAATACAATGCAAACGTATTATATCTACGTGTAACATAATTTCGCGAAACATCAAAACGTAGCGGAAAAACTCAATTTTCCGGTGTACTTCACGCACTTCACGCGATTCAATAAACTATAAAATGATTCGATGTTAACGGTTGGCTAAACAATTGGATATATCGTAAACACAATCGTAATAACAAATTTAAATCATACCTATTTTGCGAATAATACAGAATGGATTAACAAATATTTATACCGAAAACATTTGCTCTTTTTTTGCAAAAATTATCGATTGATCATTCAGTTGCGCAAACACTCGATACGGCAATAATTTCGTATATTATGAATATAATTATCTGGAATTTTAGTTGGCATTTATTCACGCATCTGCATGAAAATACTCATTTGAAAATGTATATATTATTGCATATATTAATGTATATATTATTTATTAAAAATATGGGGAGATAATGAAAATTTAATTAAAATCAATAGTAATTAGCATCGGCACGTGGTGGCGAATTGTCGAGTTGATCGCGCGATTATCGAAAAAATCGCTTCTTGCAATCGTGTTCCTCTTTTCGATGTAACGTAATAAAGTGCGCATACGTGTATAAAGTCGGGAGTGCCGAATAAGTATCGCGCGATTGTGTTCTCGCGAGTGAGTGCGAATTTTATGCGAGTGCTACGAGTCTGCAAATAACGAGGAACAAGAGAGGAGGAGAAGGAGGAGGCCAGGAAGTGGTGTCAGGCAACATCCCAGCAGAGCATCCCATGGGTAATGTATTATTTATTTGTTATACTTGTAAGATTAATGATTTATTCTCGCATGATGTGGGTGCATTTCAAAATTCTAATTTTCTCATCATTGTATGTGTATAAAGTATTTATTTTTTTTATCCCTCTAATTATTTAATATTTATTTATCCTTTAAATGGATAGTAAAATAATTATAAAATTTCTTGAAAAAAATCATTCAAAAAATGTTGATTCATAAAAATCTATAAAATTCTTGTATAAATAAAATAAATAGTTATTAATAGTTACATTCAGAATATTATATAAAATATTAAATAAAATATAAAATATATTATTTATAAAATATAAAATAAAATATAAAATAAAATATAAAATATTTTATTTATACATGAGATTTTTACGTAAATATCAAAATTTTTTATTTTTAAATAATAAATAAAAGATTTAAATTATTATTTATGTAAACAATAATTATTTGTATCAAAATATTGATATCTGTATCGGTGAGTTTAAAAAATAATCTCATTTCAATTTGAAATAATTCACATTCAGTCACAGCTTCAAAATACATTTTTGAGAATATGCTTCATATTTTTATCTCGCAAAAATCGTGTTTTTGGTAGAAATTTTCTAGCTAAAATTATAGTTAAAACAGTGACAGCATAGCATAAATGTTCGTAAAAGGGATGGTCTATGTAATTATTTATTATTAGTACTACATCTCTCTCTTTCTCTCCCGATGACGCGTTCAAAGAGTCGCATAATGCATTTTGAAGGGATGGACGCATATTCTCAGAAAAAATGTTAACGGAAAATACTATCGACGTGTAAATCCTACACAGAGAAAAATGTATACTGTATTCAAGTAAATGTTATTTATTTTAAGTATATCATAAGTTTGTATATCCGCAAATATATCATAAATTTACCACAAGCATTAAATTTAATTGAATATATTCTGAATTTTAGTAAGTGCAGTATTTTAGTCAAGAATATTAAATTAAAACAAAAATTTGGTTTGCTTACAAGAGTTGACGTAAAGTAAGTTTGATTTTTCTTTGACTACAACTTTACAATTTTTCTTGAAGAGAAAATAAATTCTTCTTTTGAGTACATGATAATGAGATTTTCTAACACTTGTGATGAGTATATTTCATCAAGAATATATTCTTTGTTGAAGATAACTATTACTTAAAAAAAGAAAAATAAACTGAGTAATCGCTTTTCTTGGCAGTAGAATGATATTTTTCTCTGTGTAGCCTCTCTTTAGGAGCGCAGAAATTTTACAGGAGAATGCTCAAATAATTTTGCTTGTTTAACACAAATTTTTTTCTTAGATGTTAATTGCGCTGGAAATTTCTTATCAACTCCAACTCTTTTTACATTCTATTTAATAATATTTTAATAATTTAATAATATTTTAATTTAACCACAATTAATATTTTTGTATAATAGAGACCCGAATTCGTGCTCGTTAACTCTCCTCGGCCATTTTAATCGTTTCATGCTAGAATACGGTATAATTTATATGCATGCATCATATGCTACACGTCTGTGTAAACTCGCGAGCAGCAGATGCAATAATAATAGTAACCCACGCGATCGTTTTTTGCGAAAAAAAAATTCGACGAGCGCATTTCATTTCATTAATCTTGCGAAGGAAAACGCGTCCTTCTTGTCGTTTATTCCGTCTATACAAGGAACTTGCCACGTAGTGCTAGCTTACGTCAATATATCTTGCTCCATCTCGTTTTACTTCAATAACGCATGCACTTCAAGAAGAGATAACATGCAATCTGCATACCTCTCGTGAGACGAAGATGGTGCAAGAAATACTTGTCGCGAGTTCTTGCGTGACAAGAAAATATATATTTTTTTCAACCGCTCATGTCAATGTTCAAGCATATTAACACGCGTTAACACGGTTGACCACTCACGAGGAAGATCTGAAACTCCCATGAAATAGCTTCGAGAAGAGATGCGCGCGCGCGTTTGAAAAAATGCGGAAATTATAACGCCATGATTTTTAACTCGATGATGTTTTCCACGTTGGTGGTGGCGTTATATATGATCGGAAGTGCATCATCAACGCGCTTATTCGTATGTTTACGTTGATATTCCACGCTGCAGTTTCTCGTGCGCGCAAAACCGCACGTCATTCGTCCACATTCGCCACACGCTCGGGTTAGATTGCGTTTTCTTCTTGCGGCATGTTTGCTGCAACTTAAAATAGTGCGCTTTTCAAGAAGAAGCACGCAATAATACGCTCTCTCGGAAGATATACCTAGTCAATATAGAGGGTGTTTCTTAACTAAGCGCAAAAAAATTTAGGAGATTTTTTGTCAAAAATT